CGAACGCGTTCCGCTTTGTGGTAGTTGTCCAGCGCGTCGGTGGCGGAGTGTTGATCTAGGGGAATTATGGACGGAGGCTCCTTTTCGTACGGATAGTGTTGGGTCTTTTTTCATAGCTCCAATTGCAAGGATCATGCGACTTTCATTTGAAGAAGAGTCCATTATCGAACATGGAGGAAAGCTGTTGTAAAGGTGAAGAGTGTAGAAACAGTTGGAAGTGGGCCACTCACTATGATGGGCCACTCACCACGCATGTAGGTTACCATGCTTGCTAAAGCTGGCACATTAGTATCTCAGGGGTGTGGGACAAAATCATTGATGATACCAGAATGGACAACTGGGCTGGGATTGCTACATACCGCTAGGCTTCCGGGCCAACAACCCCATCGGTTCTTGATAAGCGCGCTCTTATCGACGAAATGACATGGTTACCGGGTAAGACAGTAGTCCGCGAGACACTGATATCTTCAAGAGTAGAACAAAGACAAGCAGCCTATGCAATGCTGGAAAAGTTCTTGTATAGAACCAAATCCTTCGCAGGAATAACCACAGTGCTGCAATGGACACTTGTATGGCTTTATATGAACATCCACGTGCTTCCTGTCAACACAGAAGGTAAGCTATCAAAGATTCAAGAAGTCCCACATGTTGACTGACCAAAACATCTCTTGATTGTTCGTGGGTTCGTGATAGCAACCGAATGGTTGCCACGGACAAATGAAAAGTCCGTTATTTTGCGGGCCAGCAAAATATCGCGGATCCATTCGCCAATGCCCTGGAAGTAAATCTAGAGCCCCGCCCGTGATACCTGCGGATGCATCTGCTGATTAACGTTGATAACGAAGGCTGAATTACCTTCGACGTCTGAAGCGACGACTTTGGGAACATCAGTACTATGTATATTGAAGAGAGAAAGCGAGAGCCGAGAGCTTAGGTACCTGCGTGGTAGGGATCAGAGACCAGCTTCGGGTCCGCTGAAGTCTCGGCCATGGGGGGTAGGATGGGAACACTGCTAGGCCTTATGCCATCGATCCACAGCTGTGGCACATCCCCTGATACATTTCCAGACAAATTTGGTGTGGCGGCCCGTGATGTTGCGGTAGCTTGGGTCGATAGCGATGGGATATTAGAACGGCTGTCTGTCTCTTCAAATTGGCTAGAAGAGCCATTGTTACTCTTATCGTCTTTGGAAAGTCCTATCATAGTTTCGAGGTTGTTGCAAGCCGAATGTTCTTGCGAAACGCTGTCTGGTTTTGCAAAAACGATGCGTTGCTATGACTGTAAGTCCTGTCCAGATACACGTCGTTGGAGTTATTTTTGACCTTACCTCGTGACAACTTTCCGGGTGTTTGTCTCTAGTATGTCTTTTGCGGGCATATTCCGTCGTGAAACCACTTCCGGGCCTGGATCTCCTGCATGTTTGGAAAGTACAGAGCAATGGACGGTTTTCGTGCATGCTCACAATATGGCTTTTTACCGCCGCTGGATTTGACATACCGTATCCCGGCTTTGCCCTGAGACATCCACCGATGCTACAAAGATAGTTGTTTCGAGGTCCGTGAACTGTCTTGACGTGTCGGTTAAGGGCACCCCGCAGCGCAAAGGCCGCTGAGCATTTCTCCTTAGGGCATTTGAGGTGAGATGGCTTAGACGACCTCCGTGTAGCAAATGGCCTCTTATTGTCTGCGGGTGACACTGACACAATGGCAACGTGTTGGGTGTCATTGGCGAACGACATAGACTCGCCAACCAGGTGCTGGGGCAGAAAACCTTTAGGTAATCTGTTGATGTGTTATAACAGAGATAGGATGCGCTTGTAAGGTCTCACATACCTGTTTTTCGATGTGGCATGGGATTTCGATGAATGGGCAGACTCAATCAAGCCCGAGGGTTTGGCTGCATGGTCAAGGCTGCAGAGTTGAAATTCGACATTATGTTCAGACTGCCCATGCCGGTTGGTAGCTGACATGTTGTTGACAGCTTCGGGCCGAGCGAAGCCAGTGGAAGTAGTGCGGCTGTCCTGACGGTTCGAGGCTTGTTGATCGCCATTGAGTGGCAACCAGGGCCCCGGAAAGCATACATCCCTTCTCATCTTGAGTCTCGTTACTATTTGGTGGCGTGTAACTTACAATATGCCTGAGGCTATTGGGATCCTGTGGGAAGATTCTGCCCCTGGGCTAGCTTGCTGATCATATCAGCTGCACTTCTGTCGGCCTCCAGCCAAGCAGCGACAAAACCCTTGAAATTTCCGTCGTTCATGACATAAAATTGACTCCGCTGTCCCTGTGTTGGGATCTGGACGCCATCGGAGAGAAACAAGTCAACTACTACACTCCGGTAGAGCAATGAGGACGGGCGGGATGTCATATTCATGAAGTGCTGAAGGTAAAGAGAGGAGTCGAGCCGGAACCGTGTTCAGATGTCTCGGAGCACAGCAATATATACCCCTTTTTCCAGGGGGACACTTGGCAGAGGCAAGCACCCTTGGGAGGCTTTGATTCGGCGGCCCCCTTGTTGTCCAACCTCAGGCTTCGGTGTGGATTCCCTAAGCTGGCCTTATGACGATTTCGGAAGTTGGGTCCCCAAGATGACGGTGCATCAGGCTATAAGCAACCCTGCCCTCGTTCCAGGTCTGATCACATCGTGCTTCCAAGTCCTACCGACACAGGACCATCGACGAATATGGTCCTGGTAGTTGACCGTGGTGTTCCATGGCATTGCCTAAGCTTTACTGGTGTGCGCCAGCAGGGTTAAGATAGGGAACACGCAGGGCTTTGTGGAGATTCACCAAGACATTTTCCAGTTGGATAGTGTGTGTGTGTGTAGATGTTGGAAGTACAGGGGATTCGATATACCGTATACGGTAACGTGGGTGACGTAGGGATAATACTGTTGTTGTTGTTGTTGTTGTTGTTGTTGTTGTTGTTGTTGTTATCCTGATTCTGCGTGAAGAGGGGAGGAAGCTATCTAGGGGCTGGCAGCTGAGGTGAGGTTGATGGGTTGAGGTTCTCCCTTTCCGCCGTAGCTATCCTTGGCCCGAATCGGCCCGACCGGCCGAACCGCGCTGGATAACTGGATTCCAGCGAGTTATCCTATTCCGGCAGATATTCACAGACAATCCGAACGGACTGTGCCCCTACCACATAGTCATGACGGATAAGGAGAAATAGAAGTCGGTTGTTCGTCGGTTGGAGCAAATCTCCACGGTGACCATTCGTGGTCCGAATCTGGTTGTCCTCACTTCTACGCCAACGTGCCAACATAGGATACCGCGTGCTTGACACCCTGGGCCTTTATACAACACCAACTCAGCCTTTTACAAGAGGTCTTCCTCATCTTTTCTTGAATGAGCTCAATCTTTTCTCTGGCCAGTTGTACATGGAATCTGTAATGTAGTACCTAAGATCTGTCGCTTTTTAGGCCTGGGATTTGCGGATCAAATGGAGTCCGAACTCTGCGCAGAAGCAGGTGTCATAACCCACTACCTCCCACCATACTCTTCCGATCTCAACCCGGTCGAGGAGAATTTCGCCGAGCTCAAGAGCTTCATCAAGCGACACTATCATCAGCATAATGGCCTTCCTGAAGCCGGCTTTCCAGGCTTTCTGGAATGGTGCGTGCAAACGGTAGGCGCCCGGAAGTCAAGCGCTAGAGGCTATTTTCGGAACGCTGGCATCTGTATTGAGAAGCCTTGAAGAGGCGGACATTCTGAGCCATCTATAAGAATACCTAGTAGCCGTCAAACTCTGCTGCACTCTTTAACCCATTTCCCGATATCGCGGACGAACCGCCGCGCTATGCCAACCAAAACACCCTTTTCGATGAAAAAGTCGGGCTTTTGATCTTCGTGCACCTGCTCGAGATCGAAGCCATGGTCAAGCACAGCATTGTACGCCTTCCGGAACTCCAACTTGAGCGTCTCACTCTCCACCTGGGAGCACTGCCGTTCGCAGTACAATCGCACGGCCACATCTCTTGGTCCCGCAATCTCCAGGGCCAAGACAGCATTGCAGCAGGTGGGAGATGAGGATGGAAGCTGAGCCCCGTCACCCGCGGGGGAAGCGAGCGGCGAAGAGGCTGGCATCGCGTTGGTGATGTTGATCGGTGGGTAGTTTCCTGTCGATGGAGTATTGGTCTTGCGTCGTCGTTCGGCGTGTTGCTGCTCTTCGGCATACAGCTGGTCGCGGATGTCCTCGGGCATGTCACTGTGAGCGTCAAACACACCACCCTGCTCTACGTGTCGAATGATAGCTCTAAAATGATGAGACCTAAGTTTGTAATGCTTTTTGCCACAAACAACGTTAATCCAGCAGTGCGGCCCAAGATTACACGGCGGCCCAGGGCATCGCATCAAGGCGTAGACCCGCCGCCAAATCGACGGCTGGCCTGTAGAGTTCTCTTCAGCATCGAGCTGAGCTGACCGTTCGCGCAATCTGTCCTGCGTGACAGAGGAGAAGCCTCGCTTGGTGCCTCGCTGCACGGCATTCGAGGGCCCAGATTCCAGATAGTGTTATCTCGCAGAGAAAGACATCCGCAGAGGTCTTCTACACCCTGATGAGGACGGGATAGACACCGGTGACGAAATAAATACCGATGAAGCGATTGGCACCTTGATAGCCTACGCGTTCATTCTGCGACGCGATGATGCAGATAGGTTCGATATTCATCGGTTGGTGCGCCTGGTGATGCGGAACTGGATACGAGAACAGGGGAAAGAGAAACAGCAAGTGACGGAGACGATATGCTGGCTTTCCAAGAGATTTCCGTGGCCAGACCACGAAAACAGAGAAGTTTGGATGGCTTACTTGCCGCATGCACAAGCGGCGCTTCAAGTCCAGGATTGGTGCACAGACGACGAGGTGTTATGTGACCTGTTATCTAATACGGGAGAAAGCAATAATCTGCTTGGAAAGTACGGCGAGGCAGAGCAGCTGCATCGGCAGACACTGGAGCTAAGGCTGAAGGTGCTGGGACCAGGGAATCCCTCCACACTCGACAGCATGAACAACCTGGCACTCGTGCTTCGAAGCCTAGGGAAGTACGACGAGGCAGATCAAATGCATCGACAGACACTGGAGCTGAGGCAGAAGGTACTGGGGCCAGGGAATCCCTCCACGCTCGACAGTATGAACCACCTGGCAGCAGTGCTTGATAACCAGGGGAAGCACAACGAGGCAGAGCAGATGTTCCGACAGACACTGAAGCTGAGTCTGAAGGTGCTAGGGCCAGAGAATCCCGACATACTCGCCAGCATGAACAACCTGGCACTCGTGCTTGAAAGCTAGGGGAAGTACGACGAGGCCGAGCAGATAAATCGACAGACACTGGAGCTAAGGCAGAAGGTACTGGGGCTAGAGAATCTCTTCACACTCAATAGCATGGACAACCTAGCAGAAGTGCTTCGAAGCCTAGGGAAGTACGACGAGGCAGAGCAAATGCATCGACAGGAACTAGAGCTCTGTAAGAAGGTGCTGGGACCAGAGGATCCCGACACACTCACCAGCATGAACAACCTGACACGCGTGCTTCGATATCAAGGGAAGCATGAAGAGATAGAGGAGATACATCGACAGGCACTGGAGCAAAGGGCGAAACATAGAGATATGTTCCATGTCAGCAGGAGCCCGAGCAACTACGGGCCTTCTCAGGACCATGTAGAGTGGAAGAGACCACTGACTTTTCTCTATACATCCGCACATAAGCAAAGGGAGAAGGTTATGGGATCAGCGAATCCTTTAAGACTTAGAACAGAGCATACCCTGTACGCTAGTTTAGAAGTTTGGACGGACTCTAGTTCTACGGCTTCGGTAGACCGAATCTGCTACAGCATTTGTCACGATATCCTCGTAGTATAAGTCGATTCTGCCTAGATAGACTCCACCTAGCTTTGTCAGTGACCCGTGACTTCATAAGCGGTCTTGCGGTGAAATACACCTGGATAATTCAAGCCACTTTTGACCTTACAACCCCATTGCATACGGCAGGCTCTCAGCAAACATCACAATCTGAGGGTCTATCTGAAATCAGCGAAAGCAGCTGACCCTGTATGACGTGTGATCAGTGGGGCTAGAGAGGGGTGTGCGATTAGATGGAAATAAGCAAGTGGCATAAAACCGAGACCGTACTGAATTATCACCGCCGTTTGTGGATCTTGGATTATGCGACATGGATCTGACCACGAACACAGTGTAGAGCAGATTCTAGCTTTGCTGCGGAGGCCATCAAGGATGGTACTGTGAGGGTCCCATCATGTATCCTGTCAGCGAGTAGATCTACAAATGTCTGTACGCGGAAGAATTTCTGTCCTAAGAACATGGGACCCGATTTCGAACCCCTCTGTAGCAGCCCACAACAGATGAGACGATGCACACCCGGTAGTGCCGGCTGAGCTGGAAACGTCGCCGATCCTTGTCGTCGTCGCTCATCGTTGGAGTCTGGCGAATGTGGTGGTTTACAAGGAGGTGCTGCGAAAATATCCATGTCAGATGTGTTCCAACGAGATGCTTTATCGATGCGCCAGTAATGGCCCTCTTGACCGGTGGGTGTGTCGGACACGATCGTTGCTGAGCGGCAGCCAGGTTCAGCTCTTCCATTCTGCAGAGACACGGCCATGCGTGGAATATCCGCGAAATATAAAGACACCTAGTCACGACCAGCCAACAGCTTCGCTTGGTATGAACGCCTTTGACACTTTGCCCTAGATGACCAGGTCAGCGAAGGATATCCTTAACTATGTCATGGACGTTTTTTTCGTCAATAATAAATGGCACGAAGCTGCCGTCAAACTCAAAGCCAATCCCATTTTCATTGGGTCTGACCTCAAGCGACTTGCCCTCGATGAAAATTGCCAAGAGCTCCACCTTGCAGCGGCATCTATGGACTGGACCGGAGATATCCAATACGAAGCCAAGTTGGCCGAATCATTGAAACATCCGCAATTCGACGACGGGGTCCTTTCGCGTGTTCATGGCGCCGATTTGCGGTTTACCTTGAACATCCAAGAGGACAGCGATGAAAGTGACGGCTATACTAGTGTAGGAGATTTTGGCAAACTTTTCAGTCAGGAAAGTGACAAGTTGACGACTTGCGTGCTTTACTACAACGAGGGCCAGGGACGACTAGAGGAATTTCACATTCTGGGCCACCAACTGCCTTGGAGAGGACGGTATAGAATACCTTTGCAATACTGTTTATCAGTACATAACTCAGAGCCGCTCGAATGGGTAGTGGTTCAGGATGTGGACGTAACGTTTAAAAGTCAAGAGCAGGATAAGCGAGATCCCTCAGCCGAAAACCCGTTTGCATCCCACCAACAGATCCATCCACAGGTTGCCTCGCTTCTAGCGGAAAACTTCATACGTAACGGACGGCTACTAGCGAAAAACACCTTGTGGTAATTGTATCTTAAAGTGGACAATCTCCTGGCAGCGGTACACACATACATACGTAGTTCAATACGCCCCGGTTAAGCTATTCGGGGCTCATATGATCATCTGCATGGTGTCTCCGTTCGCTCGTATCCATGTCTCCTAGAGGCGCATATGAGTATAGTCTATTCCCATGTTTCAGTGATTTTCCCTAGAACAGTAGACCTCGATGGTCCCGTTGTAGACTTGGTTGCTCCTGCCGCATCTCGGACGAATGACCTGCGCAAGTGTTTAATTGAGCCTCGAATCCAGACATGGGAACCTCATGCATGAGCAATCAGTGAGCAAGAATTTTCCTTCATCTTGGAAGCGTGCATAACAACAAGAGGAAAAGTACGAAAGCTCGGGTTAATGCTGTCACTGATGGAGAAAGAAGGGAATACATGGGGTTGTATGGCGGGTTCTGGCTTTCTTAATGTAGCTCAGCAACTACGTCTATGAGGGACCAAAGTATCTGGGCTTGTAACACATAAGGCTCGAGAGACGATCTGACGCATTCTCCAGGCTCTATCGCCGTTGGCGCACTATGATGAGCAATCAGAGGTCGCGCGGCTGAACGTCGTGTCAAACGTCTGCCCTGGCCTTGCACAAGCCAATAAATGTAAGCATGACTGCTAACTACAACGTGGTACTGCGCGTACGACCGGCCGCGTCGACTTATCAGAATGGCAGTCTACCCTTGAATCGGCGCTCATGTTGACTGCCAAAAACATACCGGTGAAAGCTTGTTCTGGATATAAAACGCGATGACTGCATTAACGACTCCGCAGTCATCTACATCAACATACGCCATGTAACACGTTGGGACAAATTCTCGGCACCAGGGCGTTATGTAATCCACCAAGCTCGATTGCAATGGCTTCGGCCACGATGACTCGCTATATGACAGTAAGGGCTGCTTCAGACCTGTCCCACATCGTTCCCTGGCCTCATCCTTTGCAGCCATTCCGGACCCCTTGATGAGGAGAAGAGACCCATGATGATTGGGCCCGCTATGTGGGTCCTCTTGCTTGTGACTCTATTGTTTCCAAAATATCGGTGCTTGTCAAACTGATGATTGCGAGACGAACGACTGCCCGTGGTGACTCTCGACAAAACGAGTTAGCAGTAGGGCTTTTTTCCCCCTTGGGCGACGCGTGGAAGCGGTGACCGTGTAAAATTTGTGGTAAGTTAAGTTCCTAGGCTCTCTTGACAGTACAGTGACCGAACCCCAACAGTCGGTTCTCTCGGCCAGGCGCGACCAGGCGTATTGTCGTGGCTGCCACTCTCTAAAACAGTTGCTTCCAGCGTGCACCGTGTCATAGCAACACCAACGCCATCAGAGGATCTCTATGGCTGGTACAAAGCGTCCATGCGACGCTCGTGACCGTCCCCACAACACCTAGATCGCCACACCTATCACCAAGGAAGTGCTGAGCGTCTCTAAAGGCCTCGAAGCCGGCTTCCAGGGTTACACTCTAGGGATTCAAGACCTGCAGGTGCTTGACTATGTTCAATTCGACAAGCTATATGACGTTGGACTCGTAGTACCTGGAAACAGCTGAAAGTCCATACGGTGAAATGCAGATGACCCGTCAAGAAGTAGAGCTCTTTTGATGGGTTCGTTGTTCTAACCGCTTAAAGTACAGTACAGTTCCCTCATCTGCTTTTAAACTTCGACGGCACACAGTGACACCAGCAGATAGACGGGAAATCAAAAGCTTCCGTTGCCTGAATCTTGGACCAGCAGGCTTGATGCAAAGTATGCTCTCCACAGGGTTTCCAGATCATGTTATATCCTTCAAGGAATTCTTCCCCACAGTACATACACTTCTTTGTACTTTCGGATAAGGTTTCTGCGAACTTATCCGTGGCGACGCAAGGGAATAGCTGTTTAGGGTCGAGAGTCTTCCTGTGGATGTGGATCTCGGAAATCATACCGATAACCTTTGAGTATACGTCGGGTGCCCGTTCCCGCATTTGCTGAAGAGCTTCTGTTCGGTATTTCTCTGGGGCGTCATTGAGGGCTAGAGCGAGTGTGCTCAAGTCTCCTCTCGATTCACCCTGCAAATAAAGTTCATTCATCTTGATAACGAATTCCTTGAATGATGTGCAATAGTTCCGTATGATGGAGGCCAGGGTCATCCGATCAGTCAATCTCTCCTGGTCGGTAGCCCACTTTAGATGAGACGGATTTTCGCTGGAGTGATCCATTACTATGTAGGATGTATGATAGTGGAATGATTCCGAGCTTTCGAAGCCTGGCTGTCGTGATTCGAAAGGGCCCCGTTATGTACAATATAGCGCTGGCTTTGGTACTCTACGTAGCTTATAAGCTGAAATGTGCCTCGACTGTCTCGTCAGACAACAGCCAACTTCGGAGCAACACAAGCAATGGATCCATCGACATACATCTATGTACGGTAAAAGGCGTAACGGGCTCCGCCAGATTTCAAACTGAACATCTTTTGTAGTGGTGGTGTGGGGTCATGTCATGGCTAACATGGGATAGCAGATTACAGCTGTACTTGCCAAGTACTGGAAGAGCAGCCGCTATCAGAGTTAAGATGCAAGGGCCAGAAATGGCTTACTGATAATCCGTCATTATCATTATCTATTATGACTTTCAGAGCCGGTACAATTCGTCGTTTGTCGGGTTCGATGCTGGCTCTGTTGCAAAGGCTCCACCAATGGCTTAACAGCCAAAAAGTGACTTTTGCGCCGAAATTTTCATCGCGTGTAAGTGAATCATCAGACCGCCTGATTAGGCTGCGTTTCGCAAAGCCAGTTTCAGCTTCATCCGTTTCCGCTTCTTCCACCATCACGCAGAGGTAGTTATAAACCGGTGATCGGCCGACGGCTCCTACTGCTGAAGCCCCAAGAACAACCAAATCATCGTATCAACAACCATGGCCACCCCAACTGCGAGCAACGACAGCAAAGACAGCGAGGACTGGCTGAAGATGAAGCAGCTCATCTTCACGAGCGACACCTATCTCAGAACACTCTCCAGCCACGGTCTCTCTCTGTTCCTGATCGGCATCGACCTATATGACATTCTCGATGGGGAAACCGGACGCGATTTCCACTTGCTTCTCACACTTGCACACGGCAAAGAGAGATTGTCGGAGCGGTTCCCGAAGACACTTGCGGCCGAAGACGAGTTGATGGTTGCGCTGAAGACCTCGTTGAGAGATGGCGATAAGATTGACGAGACGAAAGCCGTGTTGAAGATCGATGCAGATGGTACCACAGTTCACTTGCATTTGCACGGCCTTCTTCACCCCGGCGCCGCCGAAGGAGAGATGTGCGTTTCTTCAGACGCTTTCGCCACAAACGAAGGGGGGCACCCAGAAACCGTGTTTTTGTCCACGCACGATACATCGAAGCCCGCCGATCAATTGGAGTTTTGTTGGACGTGCTCAAAGACCGGGTCGGAGGATGGGAACTCGGTCGATGGACTTGTTGTAGATCTGTCGGCGGATGTTTGCCCCGACCACAACAGAACTTGGATTTCGAAAAAGTAGAAGGTACGACGGAAAGCTCTTTGTCGCGAAGTAGACAGGAAGCATTGAAGACGGTGGTCCACTGCAGGAGTGTGTGCATCCATTCTTAGGTAGATAAAGGCATGGTCAGGTTCTCGCAGTATGGTCTTTCAACTCGAGATACGCACGGAATGCACGAGACAATTGACAGGCCTTCATCACATTTGCACTTGGCCCCCTTGACTTGGTGAATGATGAAACTATTAGGCTTTCTATCCCAAATCGAGGCTGTATGTTCCGGCGTGCTGCGTCCACGAACCTGGTTTCATTTGTAACTGGCAAAACGGCTTCCCATCTCCGAACGGCTTCAGGTTGTGGCGGACTACAGAGCAACTTCTCGACTCGCCGTCACATAGGGTTTCCATGGCATAACCTGTGGATTAGCTGCTACATTAAAACTATGATCCATGATAGACCACCCCGAGCTCGCGGAAACTGTATGCTCGCTCGCTCAAGGCTGTTTTCTTGTTTCTTTTTTTCTTTTTCTTTATGGTTAGTCTACAGCTACACGTGTCATAAGCGGTGGCAGACGAATGTCCATGAAGTGGAGCAATAATCAGCGCATCGGTGTCGAGTGATTGGTCAACAACGACCGATGATTCAAATGCATTTGAGCCGTTGCACTCATACGTGATACGTGATCTAGGTCGATGCTTCAGCACTCGAAGCAGCGTTCAGTCATTCCGGTAGTCTACGGACGACTAGAATTTGGTTCACATGATCGGCTAGGCATAGCTGCTGCAGGTTTGGAAACGCAGTCTCGCACTTTGAATCAATTCTACCGTGACTAACGAGCTATGGCAACGAAAACAAAGACACAGAAAAATCAGCTGACAGAGAATGAGTTGCATCTAACGAGAAACCAAGCTTCATCAAGTACATTCCGGCCTTCTTGAGTCGCGGCCGTTTCTTCATTTTCTGGCTGCTCGTTTCGGACCGCGCATGGTGGTTGTCGTGGTCCGGAGGTCTTCATCCGGAGTAGGACTACGCTCCCTTCCTGTGCTAGGGTCATTTTTCCACTTCTCGTGACGGTCCCACGAGATAATGGCTGCAGCAAAGATTGCAAAATCTGCAGCCGCCATCGTCGTTCCCTTTTCAAGAACCACTCGATCGCCAATCTTGTAGGTCTTTGGGACGACCTTGAGCTGTTTGCCGTAAATGGAGCGCACTGTGGACCTCGTCTCGAAGGTCTTCTCGACGGTTGTTTTGCCGTCGTCATCTGTAGTCACCCATTTCAACTTGATCGAGGTGAAGGGGAACGTCTTAGGTCGCTTTTGGCTCTTGGAGTCCTTTTCAGAGTTTACTGTCTCCCAATATCGTGGATCCATCAGGGCGATCGGGTCTTCAGGGCATTCGGATGCAACCCAAGCAACGCCTTGTATGTCCACTCGCACCTTGACGCCGTCCACTCTGATTTTGTCTCCCTTTCCATCTTGAAGAACTTTCCTATTCCCGGTGAGATTATCGGGCGATGTTTTTTCTCCGGCCCTGTGTGATGGGACAAGTTCCAGCTTTTCAGCGTTGGGTGGTCCCCGACCTATGACGTCGTAGAATCGGTTTAATCCTGCGCAGAGAAACCCATAGTACTTGGTGTTCTCTTCTGTTTCATCGTCTCCGAAGTGTCCGGAGATTTCATTCCACGTCATTAAGCTGGCTTCATCCTTCTCATCATCGTTTGCGACAAGAAGTGTGGTCCCCCCTCTGTTCTGGGGCACGAAGAGGCCCTCATCTTGCGGTTCTTTCTTGACGTTTCCTCTTATTTCGCCGTCGCTCTCGTCGATGGACATATCGTCTAGCTCGGACTCATCGTCAACCCCTTTATTCGACATGGCAGCATTTTGTAGATTTCTGTAGGCTTGCGCGTCGGCTTCGTTCTGTTCAACACGCTGCTTCATCTCAGCGATGACCTGCTGCACGTTTCAGAGTATGCTTGCATGTCTTTTTGCATATCTTCAGCCACTTGTCGTTGCCTCTTGAGATATGCCTTCCTGACCTTTCGTATTGGGGCAGCTGGGGCTTTCGCGACTTCCGGCGTTTGGGCGGCTCCCAAGTCTTTGATCCTCTGACTTCTGCGTAGGGAAGACATGTTGCTTGCGAGGTGGCACGACCTACCAAAACTTGGAGGCTATGAGAGGGATCGTGTTCCTCTGGCTTAAATACTTTTCCTTTTGCTCACGAGAGAAAGCTGCTGTCTTCGTGTAATCCTAAGATGGCTTTTGATCGATGCCAGAAACGGCGGCAGCGGAAATCGATTCCATGAAGGCAGCAGCAGGAACGTGGCATGTGTAGGTGGAATATCCCAAGAAGACCGCAGCGCGTCAATCAGTTGCACTCTATGAGAGGGTCAGAGCTCCATCGCCATCTATGGAAGAGGAGGACGAGGCTGCATTGGAAGGAGCGCACCAAGCGACAGCAATGGCTGAGGCATTGCAGGCGAGATAGTGCCATGTCTGATGAGACGTTTGCGGACTCGCACAGGAGACAGAATGCTGCGTTGCAGAACTCGCGTAGCACCAGTCACGGACTGAGGCCTGTGGAGGATATTGGCCGGTAATGTCCTGCATCGCACAAGCCGATTGTTGCTGCGTTTTCACTGGCTCTTAGTGATCAGAAAGCCACAAGTGACGCCGACCACGCAAAGGCCGATGATTTTCACTACCAATGTGCACCACTGCAGTAATTATGTACAGTATGTACTGTACGTACAGGACACCATGCTCGTCTTTTTCCGTGGTCTCGGGTGAGCGAGACTCTTGCGGAGGCCAGTCTGAGCTTTTGACAGCTAAATTGGTGCCACTGTTGAGATTCATCCTATATAGATACACACATGGCATCGCTTTGGGCCCTACATACGTGTGCACGCCGCCGTACGATACACGACTTGACATCTGTAGTTCCCAGCTCGAAGCTCAACGATTTATACATCTCTCATACGGTTGACAGAAACACAACATGTCCACCGCATCATCAAGCCATGCATGGGTCGCGCAGTGTAATACTGTTCAACAAGCGATGTTAGAGGCACGAAACAACAGACGAAAAGTTCAAACACCAGAGTTCCAGGCCCAAGTTGCCAAAGCAGAAGGTAATCTGCAGTTGATCAACATGGTCCTGATGAGCTTCTCGGCTGAGCAGAACGCCTGCGTTGATCAGCGGGTGAGCCTCAGCCATCACCAGCATAGGACGGAAGAGGCGTTACGCTCCATAGTATATGAGATGAGACAGAGTAGGGATGCGAGCACGAAAGCCGTCTCTGGTCTGTCTACCGTCCTCAGCAAGACATCCTTCAACCATTAGACTCGTCCCAGCGTGTGGTGAGTGATCCCTTCAGCATCACTGTGGCGTGAACAACATCTTTCTACTTCGCAATCAACGAGTCTGGCCAAAGAGTGGCATGGCTTCAATGGGATACTATGGATGCCGAAGACAGGCTTGTCAGCCTTGACGCGTCGTTCTATCGCTTGATACGACCATCTACTACGCGTCGCTGTTCAGTTGGTTCGTTATGCCGTATGTAGTAATGAAAATGCTTCTTTACAGAATCTGAAGACATCTTTGCCCACATGGTTGTGTAGTTACGCTATGAGTGCCACCACACGCCGGATTCGTGCAGCTTCATCATTTTTGATTTCCCATTTACTCACTTCGTCTATTTTGTTTTAAACTGCGGATGGATTCACAAATCCTGTAGACTCGCGGGTCCAATTCGCCGGTTTCCATGACACGTTCCATATCTACAAAGCTTTCTCTCTCATCCTCTACTGTCTCTGGTGGCTTGATTAGAGTGACTTCCCAAAGAAGATGGCCTTCCGACACACGGGAAGAGCTGAGTTGCAGCGGCACTTGATATTTCGACTTCCACAAACACCCGTGATCTTTTATCTCCAACGTTTGCACCGACAGCCTCTCTTCCATGTATACGAGAGCCGTTGTTTTCAAAACGGAATTGCTGAGATGGAATAGCCTGTCGAAGCCGGTGACTTGTGTAGCGCCATGATTGGTGAGGCATCCCGAGATGTTGATGGTCACATCGCCAATGCGGTATTCTTTGCTGTTGCGGTCGAACTTCTGATCCGGACTCGTGAGGCATTCGTGCAGTTCGTAATGTGAATGATTGTCCGAGAACTCCAAAGACCGCAGAGCCACGTAGCCTGGCGTGTTGCCGTTTTTGAGCAGACCCTCGAGATCCTTACCAAGGAGGGCGAATCCGTTTCTTTTTGCTTCGGGGCATGAGAATAGGAATGATATAAAGTCCACCACTGCTGTTTCCTGTTTCTTTGTCGGATTTTGGGAAGTCATTGATACTTAAACAATGATTTGTATTTTGCGGATTTCGCGAGTAACCGACAGCCGGCATCTTTCTTACTTATATTAGCTTATGCCGCTAGGCAGCGTGTCTACCCAGAATAAGTTCTCCGCATGGGTGCATCGAGACGGGCATTTGACAGCTGCCTTCGATTCTTGCTTCTCATCAGAGGAGTTCGTACATACGTAAGTACAGCAGTTTCTAGGACGTGTATGCTGTTCGCTTGCTGCAAAGATGTGCGCCTCACGAGGTCAGCTTTCGGACCTAGCCACAAATGGATCTTAGAGCTGATTGCTTCATAGTGCGCAACGGAGCTCGTTCAGGCCGCATGGTACTTCATTAAGTAGACATAAATCACTCTTCAGTCTCAGCCCATGTTTTCAACGTTCGAACGTGGCTATCTTCGAGAATCCTGTCTTCTTGAAAAACACCATGAATTCGATTTCTTCCAGCCGAAATGACGAGAAAGCGTTTGCCGACCTGGTTAAGTTAGAGGCAAGATATGAACACGTTCACGACGAAATTGCAATGGCTAACTGGCTAGACCAACACGTTACCTTTTGGCAATTATATCACACTCCATCCTTACCGTGACTGGGGTGACCGTAGAAAGCTCGTCAAGCGTTTTCTACTATACTGCAAACGGCTCGAAACCTCGTTCGAGACAGTCTTTTTGGCAGTCAACTGGTTAGACCGGTTCCTCTGTAAGAATGCCGCAACAAACCATATGGGGTTTCTGGGCGCAATCATCTTGGCCGTGGCGTTTCGATACAACAGCAGCACGGAACACCCTCCTTCCGCATTCGACCTTCAGCCCTCGTACCACAACTACTATGATGAAGAGGATATACCACATATCGAAGCCCAGTTGCTTAAGAACCTGAACTACACTCTCTGGACACCAACTCCTTTCTCCTTCTTGGGTCACATAGCAAGCCTCGATGGGACGAGACCAGACGTTCTTCATCTGGCGAAATACTTGGCTGCGAGTACCGTGCTCGATGAGAGGTTCATTGGTATCAGGCCAAGTCGAATTGCAGCTGCATCGTATTGCCTATCGCTAGAAATTCTCAGGAGGGTGAAATGCGAAGATAACCCTTATTGGCTAGTCTGGGTAGGTGAACGTTGCTCAATCCGACGAAGCCACTGTTAACGAAAATCAGTCAGATCAGCATTCCCAACTTACAGGATACAAAAAACACGACATCATGGGTCTGTCCTGCCTTATCTTGTTTAGCATCCGACAGAAGGGTGTCATTAGCTCGCTCAACACACTCGCGACTAGCGTCTCCGAGTTTGGGGAGTCCGCTGTTATCATGAGCGAGGGAAAAGACGCTCCTCTGATCGTCAAAAATTTCCATGTGCAAACCTATGACTATCCTGATGATGAGGATGATTAGTTGAACTGGATTAGAATCAGTCAGGGGAACTCACGCCGTGGGAATACATACTAGGTATGGTTTCAGTCAAACGCCAAAGGTTCAGCGGAGCTTTCAGACTCAGCAATCAACCAGCGTCGTGCGAGAATCCACAGTTTCCCATGCGGCCGATGCCCCAGCCAATTGGGCGTGCTAGTCAAACTGTTACTGGTTGATTTTCGTTTCGAGCACGAGGTTTTGTACTGTAGCAGCCTGCATGTTCAGAACTATTCTCCTCTCATTAGAGCATGGCCGATACTCATATGACTCAGCTACGTCACGATTGGCAGATGATATTTGTTAGAAAGAAGCATCAGCTGGTGCCTAGCCGTCCCGTAAAAGTCGCAGGCCAGCCAGGTGTTACAAACAGGCCAGGGCAACGAGCTGCACACAAGACAAAAGCTTCAGTAATGACAGGGCATTATGGAGTTACGCTAACCAGATCCCCAGCTGCGTAAGCCGTAACACCCAGTGTCTTTCCGTCTCATCTCCAATTGATGTTGCCCATACTAATTAGACGTTCGTGTTCTAGTTAACCTACAGAATTGCGTCTGTCGAGAGAGACGACGCTGCTCTGTCGCTAGTGGAAGTTCGCATGATTCCAGGATGGAGATTCCGGATCGCTGACATCGACATGTTGTGGGTTGAAATTGGCGCAAGCTCTCGTTTCCGTCCTGCTTGCACACCACCGCGAAGATTGCTCAGGTAGGAGCCCCCCTGGTCAAGGTGGTACAGACAGCTTTGGCGTTCCACTTCTCATGTACCTTGTCAACGCTAACGAGGGCTGGGACACAGTATAGAGGGATTCGAAATCGGTTTCCATGTTCTAAACACAGAAATTCTTCTGGGCACAGACATTTGTGGATCCGCTCGCTGACAGGATACATAATGGGACCCCGACAGTACCTTCCTTAACGACCTCCCCAGCAAAGCAAAAACTGCCTCTACACTGTGTTCGTGGTCGGACCCATGTTGCATAATCCAACATCCACAAATGGCGGTGATAATCCAGTGCGGTCTCGGTTTTATGCTACTTGCTTATTTCCACCTAATCGCACACCCCTCTCTAGCCCCACTGATCACACGTCATACAGGGTCAGCCGCTTTCGCTGATTTCAGATAGACCCTCAGATTGTAATGTTTGCTGAGAGCCTGCCGTATGCAATGGGGCTGTAAGGTCAATCGTGGCTTGAATTATCCAGGTGTATTTCACCGCAAGACCGCTTATGAGGTCACGGGTCACTAACAAAGCTAGGTGGAGTCTATCTAGGCAGAATCGACTTACAGCAGAAGGATATCGTGACAAATGCTGTAGCAGATTCAGTCTACCGAAGCCGTAGAACTAGAGTCCGTCCAAACTTCTAAACTGCCGTACAGGATATGCTCTGTTCTAAGTCTTAAAGGATTCGCCGATCCCATAACCTTCTCCCTTGGATTATGTGCGGATGTATAGAGAAAACTCAGTGGTCTCTTCCACTCTACATGGTCCTGAGAAGGCCCATAGTTGCCGCGCTCCTGCTGACGTGAAACATATCTCTATGTTTCGCCCTTTGCTCCAGTGCCTGTCGATGCATCTGCTCTGCTTCGTCGTACTTCCCCTGGCTTCGAAGCATGCCTGCCAGGTTGTCCATGCTGGTGAGTGTGGAGGGATGCTCTGGTCCCAGCACCTTCTCCCTCAGCTCCAGTGTCTGACGATGCATCTGCTCGGCCTCGTCGTACTTCCCCTGGCTTTCAAGCACGAGTGCCAGGTTGTTCATGCTGATGAGTGTCGAGAGATTCTCCGGTCCCAGCACCTTCTCCCTTAGCTCCAGTGTCTGCCGATGCATCTTCTCTGCCTCGTCGTACTTCCCCTGACTTCGAAGCACGAGTGCCAGGTTGTTCATGCTGCTGAGTGTCGAGGGATTCTCTGGTCCCAGCACCTTCGCCTTCAGCTCTAGTGTCTGCCGATGCATCTGCTCTGCCTCGTCGTACTTCCCCTGGCTTTCAAGCACGAGTGCCAGGTTGTTCATGCTGATGAGTGTCGAGAGATTCTCCGGTCCCAGCACCTTCTCCCTTAGCTCCAGTGTCTGCCGATGCATCTTCTCTGCCTCGTCGTACTTCCCCTGACTTCGAAGCACGAGTGCCAGGTTGTTCATGCTGCTGAGTGTCGAGGGATTCTCTGGTCCCAGCACCTTCGCCTTCAGCTCTAGTGTCTGCCGATGCATCTGCTCTGCCTCGTCGTACTTCCCCTGGCGTTCAAGCACGTGTGCCAGGTTGTTCATGCTGGTGAGTGTCGAGGGATTCTCTGGTCCCAGCACCTTCTTACATAGCCCCAGTTCCTGTCGATGCATCTGCTCTGCCTCGTCGTACTTCCCCTGGCTTTTAAGCACGAGTGCCAGGTTGTTCATGCTGTCGAGTGTGGAGGGATTCTCCGGTCCCAGCACCTTCTGCCTCAGCTCCAGTGTCTGCCGATGCATCTTCTCTGCCTCGTCGTACTTCCCCTGGCTTTCAAGCACGAGTGCCAGGTTGTTCATGCTGTCGAGTGTGTCGGGGTTCTCGGGTCCCAGCACCTTTTTGTACAGATCTAGTGTCTGCCGATGCATCTGCTCTGCCTCGTCGTACTTCCCCTGGCGTTCAAGCACGTTTGCCAGGTTGTTCATGCTGCTGAGTGTCGAGGGATTCTCCGGTCCCAGCACCTTCTGCCTCAGCTCCAGTGTCTGCCGATGCATCTTCTCTGCCTCGTCGTACTTCCCCTGGCTTTCAAGCACGAGTGCCAGGTTGTTCATGCTGTCGAGTGTGTCGGGGTTCTCGGGTCCCAGCACCTTTTTGTACAGATCTAGTGTCTGCCGATGCATCTGCTCTGCCTCGTCGTACTTCCCCTGACTTCGAAGCACGAGTGCCAGGTTGTTCATGCTGCTGAGTGTCGAGGGATTCTCTGGTCCCAGCACCTTCGCCTTCAGCTCTAGTGTCTGCCGATGCATCTGCTCTGCCTCGTCGTACTTCCCCTGGCGTTCAAGCACGTTTGCCAGGTTGTTCATGCTGCTGAGTGTCGAGGGATTCTCGGGTCCCAGCACCTTCTGCCTCAGCTCCAGTGTTTGTCGATGCATCTGCTCTGCCTCGTCGTACTTCCCCTGGCTGTCAAGCACGAGTGCCAGGTTGTTCATGCTGTCGAGTGTGTCGGGGTTCTCGGGTCCCAGCACCTTTTTGTACAGATCTAGTGTCTGCCGATGCATCTGCTCTGCCTCGTCGTACTTCCCCTGACTGTTGAGCACGAGTGCCAGGTTGTTCATGCTGTCGAGTGTGGAGGGATTCTCGGGTCCCAGCACCTTCTTCTTCAGCTCCAGTGTCTGTCGATGCATCTGCTCTGCCTCGTCGTACTTCCCCTGACTGTTGAGCACGAGTGCCAGGTTGTTCATGCTGTCGAGTGTGGAGGGATTCTCGGGTCCCAGCACCTTCTTCTTCAGCTCCAGTGTCTGTCGATGCATCTGCTCTGCCGCTTCGTACTTCCCAAGCAGGTTATTGCTTTCTCCTGTAATCGACAGCAGATTCCATAACGCCTCATCGTCCGTGCACCAGTCCCCAACTTGAAGTGCTGCTTGCGCATGCGGCAAGTAGGCCATCCATACTTCTCGGTTCTTGTAGTCAGGCCAAGGAAACCTCTCGCAAAGCCAGTAAATCGTCTCATTCACCTGCTCTTCTTCTTTTCCCTGCTCCCTCAGCCAGTTACGCATCACCAAGCGCACCAGTCGGTGGATATCGAACCTATCGACAGTTTCCCGCTTCAGAATGAACGCGTAGGCCATCAGCGTGCTTATCGCCTCGTCAGTCTCCATCTCGTCGTCCGTATCTATTCTGTCTCCTTCAGGAGGCAAAAGAGCTCTGGGGATGTCTTTTTCTGCGAGATAACACATGAAACTAAGGTACTTCGCTGCTAGTGGGTTATCCCTTGAGATGTGCGTAAACGATATCAGCCACGTCGTAGCTACTGGGTTCCAGATGGCCTCATATCGATATTGGTCTTCGAATTCCTTACTCAGCAGCTTCACCAGCCTTTCGCTACTGGCCTTACAATACTCAAGGTATTTGGACACAGTCACGCTTTTGTTGCAGGCCATATAAGCCGATGCCTGTCGTATAGCCAAAGGCAGATAAGTGAGATGCTCGAGCAACTGTGTTGTGCTTTGTGCATCGCTCATTTGGCTTTCATCCAAGCCGCAGCACAGGAGCTGAGTGGCTTCTATGCCACCCATCTCTTCTAGATACGTAGGGCGACCTGGACTAAACCTCGCTGCGGCTTGGTGGTTTCGAGTTGTAAGCAGGATAGAGCCCTTCCTACTGGAAGGGAGGTACGTCATCAGCTTCAAGCTTGTAAACAGTAAGTCTATGTCGTCCGCGTTGTCGATGATAAGAAGCCAGTCGCCGACGTCGTCCCGTTCTAGCGCAGTCTTGACCAAGCTTTTAACGTCTGCTTGTTCGTCGTCGATGCCTCGGATGTTAAGCACGCGGCCGATCGCGCGACACGCGTTCTCAAACATGCTTATGTCTACAGCGGGTACCCAGAACACTGAACATTGAGGATTTATATCGCGAACACGGTACGCCGCTTCGATCGCGACCTGTGTCTTGCCTATCCCTCCGAGACCCACAATTGCCGTCCTCTGACAGGTGTCTTTATAGGCGCCGGGCGGGATTCTTTCGAGAAGCTGTGTTATGATCGCATCTCTGCCGACAAAGTTCTCATTCCGTCCAAATGGGACGATGAAGTGAGTTTTCTGATGAGCAACACGATTCAAGGGCTCATCTATCGTATTGTCAGTTCGCTGTGCATAAAATGAAAGGATTCTCCACTAAGTACTCGTCTCTGTGACAGGCCGTCCACCGAGTTCGGCCAGAACTGGTCTAGGCTGTGCAACGATGCGACTGGTAAAATGGTCTACAAAGTGTGCAATCGCCCTCCGATTTTCATCAATGTAGTTCCTGGTATGTGCAGAGATCGTGCTCGACTTCTCCCAGTCCGACAACGTCACATCCTCCAGCCCCTTGTCGACGTTGAATCTGAAGTACTGATGGCTGTCACCATACTGCTGGTCCATTCTTGCTGCCACTTTCTTCGAGCTGGTCGCCATGCTCTTCAGCGCGCGGACAATGTCCATCCTCGTTTTACCGATACTGACGACGTCTCCGAGCCCGGTACCAATACTAAGCACTTGAAGCCGAGTGTGTGATGGGAACTGTTTTTGCGCTTCGTTGACAAGGATTTCGCATGGATTGTTATATCCAAAACCAGCATCCACGAACTCGATCTCGTCCCGGCCCACTCGAATGGGTTTAAAGAAGGTCGTCGCCGCGGACGTTGCTCGGGCCACTTCCCAGATTGAGCAACCGCGAAAGCCCTCCGACGTATCGTAGGTTGTAAGCAACGTCGGCGGAGCATCAACATTGTCCTTGGTGATGGCAAGGACGGCGCTTGGACATGGTGAGTCTCCCATCACGTATTTGAGAAATCTACAGAAGAGATACGTACGTTTTGGTGCATCCCGGATCGCGGAGCTCCAAGTCTCTATGGGGACAAGCCCTATCTGTTGCGATGCCTTGTTGCCGCTGGCCGGCACAGTCCGCCGCTGTACAGAACTTTCTGCTTGTGTTCTTGACCGCCTCCTCGAGCGCCGTGGCGGAGAAGGCACCCTTCGGCGAGGCCGGGAAGATTGTCGTTCGTTTCGGAGTGAACGCCTTCTGGGCAACTTCCCGGTACTCTCGGATGCACTCGTTGACAGTCATGCGGAGCCTTCCCAGCATGATGGCAATGATTCTAGGAAGGGTTAGCGGGAAACAAGTAAAAGAAGTTACGAGTGGCGATACCCTCCCGTGCTCGTTCCGCCGATGAAGTCGAAGCATTCACATGGTCGTGGCACGTGCTCAAGACCTTGCGCTTTGCGCATCTCCTCCATCAAGTGCTCGAGAATCAGAAGGCTGGAAATACCCCGGATACCGCCGCCATCTGGATGCGTTAGTGACCAGAAAATAGCCGGATGTGGTTGTTCTAACCGAGGGACAGGATCCGTAGCGGCGGGGACGGGTCCGGAGACGTAGACTCCATTGTGGATCACTCGGTCCGGCCCGGTCTGGTAGTCAGTCAACGGGTCTTTGATGATTTGAGTTTGGACGATGATCTTCAGATGGTCCAAAGTGCGGGGAAACTTGTCGTCTCTGGTCTGTTCCATTTCAGATCAGAGAGGCGGCCCACCTACGAGGCATGTCTGACATAAGCGAAATACCGTGCCTAGCTGGGGTAGTCCCACCACCACGTGAATGACCAACCCAATCACCCACTTCGGCTTATCACAGCCATGGCTGAATTTACAAAGCTGCCACTTGTACCAGCAGGGATGCCTAGTCTGACTTGAAACTGGGGTTAGACCTACCGACGCGCTCTGGTCAACAACCAGCCCAGTTCCAGTTGAAAGCCTTCGGCAATTGGCAATGCTCGCAAGTAATTGACGAAACGTGCAAAGCAAAGGACTCGGAAGGCGTGATTATCCTGGTCCTACTGTAGTTTAACCACTGCCGTTCATGAAACACTTGAGCTCCGCATGACACTCATCAATAAAGCACTCATGCCTTATGCATCGCATGTCGGATGCATAGGTAGAATCTAGTCTGCATATGCAAATAAGCAGACATAAGCAGGTGTCATAGAATCAAGACTGCACTTACTATGTACGTCTGCCGATTATGGATGTTGAACTTTGCAACATGGTTTCGAACTACAAACACAGTGTAAAAGCCGTTTCCCGCTGTTGATTTAGAGCTGGTTAAGGAAAGTACCGTCTGGGTCCCAAGATGTATCCGGTCAGCGAGCGGATCCAGAACTGCCCGTGCATAGACGATGTTTGCGGATCCACATGCCGACTATGCTGACTGGATACATAGCGGAGCCCAAAAGTACATTTGCCGATGACCTGCGCAGCGAAAGCAAGAAACGGCTTCTACACTGTGGTCATGATTCGGACCCATGTTGCACAATGCAAAATCCACAAACGGTGGTGATAAGTGCCGTCTCAGTTCTATGCCACTTGCTTATGCTCACCCGTTTGCAGATACAGACTAGGCTGCGTCTATGCGTCCGTCTGTTGATTACCATGTGTCTAAAGACAACCTCTCAATTCTGCTCCAAGCCTGATTACGCTGGAAGCACAGCATCAAGATGTCTGGTTTGACACTAAATATCGGCTTAGCACTGGTCCAGCAGCTATTCTGGCTCAATTGTCCGGCTGATCTACATATAGCGATGCTTCGTCCCGTGCGAAAGTGTCAAACTATCCCTACATATATCAGATATAGTGAATTGTAGGGCCACCAGGCGGTGCGACCGCGGACAAGCTATCTCGACTCGCAGATTATTTTGGTGATGCTTGATCTGTGAGAACCCCGTCCTCAGAGTTTTGACATCCCGCTAACGACCCTCAGCAGGCACCACCGTATCTCAATGTAGGCGAAGCATGACCGGATGACTGTTCCGCCATGGCGCCCAACATTGCTGTATCGCAGCATGAGCTGATCCAGGACATGATCCTTACTGGGAATTCACCAACACTAGCATAGCCGAGGCCGCTGGATGTAGCGCGCGGACGGTGCGCAACATCCGAGCGAATATCGAATGCTTTGGAGACACAAAAGCACCTCCCAACGGAGTCGGACGCCCTAGGAGTATCACGCCGCCTATGATGAGTGCTTTGTGCCACCGGTTGATCGAAAAGCCCGATCTTTATCGGGACGAGATGATACTGTTTCTCTGGGACGAGTTTGAGACTCTAGTGACGGCTTCCAGCATTAGTCGTGCTTTGGCTTCAGCTGGTTGGAGCAAAAAAGTGGCCTGACGCGTTGCCTAAGAACGAAAGGCAGATCTGCGGGACTTCTATCTCTATGGGCTGTTAGCTTTCTGCTCCTATCACCTAGTCTTTGTAGACGAGTCAGGTTGCGACAAGCGTGCTGGCTTTTGGCGGACTGGGTGGTCCCTGTTGGGAGTGACCCCAGTTCAGGTTGCTCGATTTCATCGTGACCGACGATACCAGGTCTTGCCTGCTTACACGCAAGACGACGTTATTTACTCGCGTGTGTTTCAAAGCACTACTGATAGTACGGTGTTCGAGGGCTTCATCGAGGAGCTGTTCCCTTTCTGTGGGAGGTGGCCAGAGCCAAAGTCCGTGATCATCATGGACAACGCTTCTTTCCACCACTCCGAGCGAATCCAAGAACTCTGCGCAGAAGCAGGTGTCATAATACACTTCCTTCCACCTTACTCTCCCGATCTCAATCCAATCGAAGAAAGCTTTGCAGAGCTCAAAAGCTTCATCAAGCGACACTATCACCAGCACGATGGCCTTCCCGAAGCAGACTTCCCGGGGTTTCTGGAATGGTGCGTGCAACGGTTGGCACCCGGAAGTCAAGCGCTCGAGGCCATTTTCGAAACGTTGGCATCTTTATTAAGAGCCTTGAAGAGGCGGAAGATAAAAGCCCATCGAGAAGAAAGCCTGGTAGCCATCACACTACGCTGTATTTCTCAACCCACTTTCCAATATCGCGGACGAATCGCCGCGCTATACCAACCTTGACGCCCTGTTCGATGAAAAAGTCGGGCTGTTGATCTTCGTGCACCTGCTCGAGATCGAGGCCATGGTCGAGCGCAGCGTTGTACGCCTTCCAGAACTCCAACTTGAGCGCCTCGCTCTCCACCTGAGAGCACTGCCACTCACAGTACGTTCGCACGGCCACATCTCTCGGTCCCGCAATCTCTAGGGGCAGGACAGCATTGCAGCAAGCAGGAGATAAGGCGTTGAGGGGAGTCGCGGCGCCTGCGGGGGACGCAAGCGGCGAGGAGGCTGGCAGCACGTTGGTGATGTTGATGGGTGGGTAATTGCCTGTCGATGGAGCATTGGTCTTCCGTTGTCGTTCAGCGTGTTGCTGCTCCTCGGCATACAGCTGGTCGCGGATGTCGTCAGGCATGTCATCGTGAGTGTCAAACGCACAGCCCTGCTCTACGTGTCGAACTATAGCCTTCAGATGATGAGACTTCAACTTGTACACCTGCTGCGAAATCGGTGTCCTGTTATTTAAACCCTTTGACAAATTCGGGAGCAGGAATATTACCCCACACAGTGTATTTTAAAAAGTTTGTCACTCAATCGGTACGCTCGGAGGCTGAGCCGAGAGGGCAAGTAACGCTGCCTATCCGTATTTGCGAAATCGGTGTCCCGTTCGTCCAAAGTCTTTAAGGAAATTCAGGAGCAGGACAATACCTCACAAAGTAAATATCAATAGTATGTCGACACTTTGATACAGTACCCCAACCGGTACCTTACGTTTCTGCCTGAATCCGAAGCATAGCCCCGAATCTATTGTATTTATAGAGTGGATTCCACGCCAGTTCCGATGATATTCTGCTCACCACCGATAATGATGCTGCGGGGTATTAAGGCAATGGCCGCCTTATCGACAGCTCCAGCGAATTGTTTGCCAGTAGTGGGGCAGTGCCCTGCTGTGCACCCCGTCTGTCTCGAGTCGCTCACGTCGTCAGAATCGTTAATTCATAGCAAATCGGTCGACGTTCACTATCAACGACGTTGTGAATTCACTCCTCTCATCTTTAGATACTCCCTCAACAGACTCCGATCTTTATCACTTCTGCCTCCAATGGCATACCGCGATTCTCTCGACTCGGACCACCTCCGACTACTACGACCAGTCTCATTGTCTCACGGCAACCTTCACTTTTCAGTCATCACTGTGCGTCGCGCAGCGGTAAATTACTATAAGTACACAGCGGTCTCATACACCTGGGGGGACGGCAGCCCTTCCGAGATAATCTTCCTAGATGGTCAACCTTTCCCAGTCAGACCAAATCTATGGTCTTGTCTGTATTACTTGAGCCTTGCTTCACGGCATACCGAGTGGGAGTACCTCTGGGTTGACGCGATTTGCATCAACCAAGCCAACGATGCAGAGCGTAACTCACAAGTCCGCTGCATGGATCAGACATACAGGAGTGCTATCTGCGTCTCTGTTTGGCTCGGTTTGATACCTCTATCAGAGGGACTACCCCGAAATACTCTCGCTCCTATCAAGACGCTAGAAAGCGATGGATTCGATTGGCGAGAATCCATGCTCAAGCTCGCGAGTCGCCCGTACTGGACTCGCTTCTGGGTTATTCAGGAATGCCTGCTTGGTTTAGAAGTCGAGCTCTATTGCAGTGATAACCGAATAAGATGGTTCGACTTCCAGCATATCTTATGCACAGAGGCAGATATTAACGAGTTTCCCCAATCGGACGACCTCGATCCTGGAGGGAGTAAGGCAGGGTCATATCCTGCCTTGCCACTCGTTATGAGCCGTACGATTGATCGGTATCCGGAACTATTGCAACCGCTATACGACCTCGTCGTCGCCCACCACCGTGCCAAGTGCAAGGAAACTAGAGATAGGGTTTTCGCCTTGCTCGGACTTGTAAAGCCCGAGGATCGACGTATGCTTGGCCGATTCTTCCCCGATTACGACATGGCTGAAGAACACGTGCTCATCATAACACTCGCGCACCTAACGCAATATACCTTCGAGCTAGCCTACAGGGACCGCCAGCCGATAACGCCTGACTCCGAAGAAATTTTCCTCGGACTCGGGGTTAAGTCGAAGACACGGAGGAAGGCGTTAATACGTCGGGCGAAATGGCTAGATTATTGTGATTGGGATGCGCAATTGCCGCAACTGCTCGCCCTCCAAGACCAAGAAGAGCAAGACTTGGGCAGCGCGTACTCGGAGGAGGCTGAAGAAGAGACTGAAGTACTTGAAGGTGCCAGTTTCAGGCCAGGTGGTGCACAAGTTATGATTTTTTTGTTTTTCGCTCTGGCTGTCGCCGTGGTCTGGTGTGTGCTTCGCCTCTAACAAGTGGATGGCTTTTAAACTTATCGTGTAACGTGAATGATAAGCGAGTGAGACAGACAAGCGAGTGAGACACGAAACTGCGCCGACGAGATAAACTGGCTTCCATATCAAAATCAACAGCATCAGTTCAATTCAAAGTACTTATAATCCTTATCTCTAGATATCTCTTCAATAAACTGGCACGTTCGTACATTATGTCCTAGGTTACCACAGACGCCACATCGTCGATGACCTGTCTCGGCCCTTAGTTTGCGACCACTAGTGCGACGCGTTTCCTCCTGAACCTGCGCAGTCACATCTTTCTGTGACTGTATATCTGCAGCGTCAGCTACCGTAGGACTTCCTCCGTCTTGTAGGCGTGTTTTCTTGGTTCTCCGTCGTCGACTAAGTTAGTTATTCTCATCTCTAAGAATCTGTACCTCAGACCTAAGTAAGGCTATTTAATACATGATCCCTGTTGTACCTTTAGAAAGTCGTTCAACAGCCTCACAAATAGAGGTTAGGGAGCTGCTTTGGTGACGAGCGATCCGACTCTTGATAAAGTTGGACTGAGAGCTTGCCTCTACTAGGTTGTTTGGTGTCCTTGAAACCCAAGGCGGAGGTGTCTGAGGTGGTGATACTAGAGGCGTTAGAATGTGTAGCCGGATATCCAGCTTTGATAGGACGCTTTCTACACTCAGAGGAACAAGCCCAACTCCACTAAAACCCCCTTAGATGTTTTTTTCAGTCATCGCTTAACTAAACGCTTTGCGATATGCAGGAAAGAAGTCCTCCTTTGAGATGTGGGTTACGCCCCGCCGCATCTTATCCTCAATTTGTTGCCCATACGCCGTCTGTAGCGGGCTAAAGCACCCAACGTCAAGGGGCTGGAGTAGATGAGACAAATGAGGCGGCATACAAAGTGTAACGATCTTGTTTGCCTTGCAACATATCTCAAAGTCTGTTGAGTGGTGACTTTCGTGCCCATTGTCGACAAAGAGGCGATATTAGCCTCTCAAACATGCTTTCGTATAACGATCAAAGTGTTATATCCAATCTAGGCCTCTTTCATTTATTATCCATCCATTTTCAGACGTTGCAATGACCCAGTCGTCCGGGAAACCTGATGTTACGACCCGGTCGCTTACAGTGGTAGGCGTCTAACCGGTGTGTAGCTATATAATGCAGAACAAGGGAAAATGATGCAGGTGCATCATTATCGAAGCTTTTGCTTTGTGGCGCAGTTGGTTGCCTTGACCTCCTCGTGACACCTGACTCTGTATACCAGGTTGAGAGGTGATATTGGCCTGTAACGATGATGTATGGCGGGACGTTGTAGCCTTGTGAGTTAATAGCCTGAATCACTATAACCTACTCTCAATTACCAGGCTACACCATTTTTTTGTTTGATCGCCTTTCAGCACTTGTCACAACCATTCCAGATGCAATCTGACCCATCATAAAGCCAGTCTCATCAAAGTTGTAGTTATCAGACTTATTAATACCGTACTTTGCAATTATGTTCTCCACAAGGGCAAACCAGCCGCAAATAGCCTTTGGACCCTCGCATTGGGCTCTCTTGTAGTCGTACTTCCGAAAAAAACGCGTCTGTAACTATGGTTATCGTTTAACGAAGTTTAAGGCCCAGCGCTTCCCAACGGGAGGCGCGTCGCGATCAGCAAGCAATCGATCAGCCATTTCTTCTACACCACGGATCCGGGGAGGGAATGATCAGGCATCTAGATCGAGAATATGATCAACTAACGTCTGCTCTTCTAGCAACGTAAAGATTCCTCAAGTTCGGTATCCTGTCGCTTCGAGATGTAGAGCCCTTCAATCGTCGACTCAATCTTGCATGACTGACCGAGTAGATCGTAGCTGCAGCCCGTGCACTAAGCTCTGGATTGATTCTGATAGCTTGAAGGGCCAGCTGTATGCCTGACTCATTGCTTCTGGATGCCATAATGTGTTGTGGAAGAAACGTGTCCATTCGTGTTGAAGCATCATCGGCGCAGTTTCGTGTCTCACTCGCTTGTCTGTCTCACTCGCTTATCATTCACGTTATAGGTAACTTGGGCACCAGCCTCGAAAACTGTGTCAGGCGACAGTGTGGCGGCCAGCAATTGGGCATATTGGTCTATTGCCTACGAAGCGAGTGTGGTGTTGTTGTTACGTCTCTAACCTAAAACATGAAGCAGAGAAGGGATTCTCGGCCATAATTCCTATAACGTATATGATAAGCGAGCTGGCCAGACAAGCGAGCTAGCTACCTCCTTATCGTACCTTAAAGCACTTATCTTTATCTATTAATTAAACCTTTGTTATTAGGCTAAAAATAGTAAAAGTTAGTAAATAGCGTTTGATAAGGGTTATACTTAAGTAGTAAATTCCTATAAAATTCAGTATTAGCTACTTATAGCTAAATAGAATAAGCCTCTTATCGATAAGGTATATAAAGTATACCTTAGTTAACTACTATATATAAAATATGGTAGATTTATTTTATAGTATAAAACCTTTATCAATAGCTATCTAGAAACTTTTACTACTTTTAGCCTAATGTTAAAGGTTTAATTAATAGATAAAGATAAGTGCTTTAAGGTATGATAAGAAGGTGGCCAGCTCGCTTGTCTGGCCAGCTCGCTTATCATATACGTTATCCCGCATTGCAATAGAGGATCGAGCATGGGTTGTGTTAGATAGACGATATCGATTCGATGCAATACACCTGGGGTTCATTGATCAAAGAGTGGTTGTTGTGCTTGATTGAGGGATTCTTCCCATCCCGGTCGAAGCGGGGTTCTGTCTTGTATTTACCCGTTCTTCCCGGTTCTTGAATATTACATTTATGCGAGTATTGTAGTTTTGACAGCCTTTTATCCGGACACAGGCGTCAATCTAACAGGTTGAATGTATGACTCGATTATGCAATATCCAGGTCTGACAAACTGTCAGACCTTGGTCAGCTAATCCTGAGTCATGGCCCCTCGTTTACCCCATGACTTCCTCATATTGAATTAGCCTGGCTACTCATTCTTAAACGGTTCGGCTATGCTTTCTTTCCTTAGATAAATAGGACGCATTTTAGCACTATCAGCTTACTCGCTAAGCAACAATATACGCTCTTTTGAACACCCATATGCCTATTCGCTAGCCGCCATACTAATATCTGTCAGAAACCATATGTATAATCACGTGATAATTCCGAGTTGCAGTAGCGTAGCCAAACAGTACAAAGGTACCTGTAGAGTATGTAACGGCCAATACGAACTGTGTCCGTGCGCCTGGATTATCTCAAGACTGTTAGTGAGTAGGACACCGATTTTGCAAATAGCTGAAATGCTTTTTGCCACAAACAACGTCAATCCAGCAGTGCGGCCCGAGATTGCACGGCGGCCCAGGGCATCGCATTAAGGCGTAGACCCGCCGCCAAATCGACGGCTGGCCTGTAGAGCTCTCTTCAGCATCGAGCTGGGTTGCCCGTTCGTGCAATCTGTCCTGTGTGATGGAGGAAAAGCCACGCTTGGTGCCTCGCTGCACGGCAGTGGATGACCCGAACTCCAGATAGTTGAAAGACATTTGGACCCTGAGTTCTCTTCCGGCACGGAATAGATGGCCCCAAGTTTTGAGCTGTCTCTCCACGACTGTCCAGTCAAGATCAAGATCGTCGAATCGTTTGACAAGGTCACGCTGAGAGCGATCTCGCACGGAGACGGTGACGTTGGAATGATCTATCCTGAACGACTTGTTGGACGGCAGCTTCTTCCTCACCAGCTTATCGAGCTTTTGGCGCAGAGTTCGTTCCCAAAAGGCATTCGGTGCAAGGACAAGGTCTGGTTCGCTGTCTTTCGACACTACTCTGCTGTTTGCTGTCAACTTCCACTCGATCGAATAATGGATACACGTTGGTGGTTGCTCATCGTAGGTCTTGTTCTCATCCCAGTCAGCCAGCTGCAGCAAGGGGAGTCTGCCACTAGACGCAGGTGCTTGGCTCTGGGTCTGGCTTGGGGCTGGGCTCAAGGCTGGGCTTGAAGAGACTGTCTGAGCATCCTCTGCGTCAATCACCACAGGGCTAGCGGATATGCGTTGAGCGTTTCCGCTGTCGTAAGCATCTGGAAGCGCGTCTATCGAGTCAAAGGATGACCAGTCATAGTCGTCCAACAGCGTTGTGAACGCCAGCGCTGATGAGGACATATTGGGAGACGCTGATGTGGACCGAGTTACTCGAGAGTGGTGAAGAATTAAAATATACGTGACTCTCGATCCGTGCTCGAAGCAAAAGTGAAAGGCCAATGACTTACGAACTTCTGGAAGGTTCTATTGTTAGCGACATGGGTACGTGACAGGGTCTCCAGGGAGGAACATAGTAATTCCTTTCCTGATGAGTGGGATCATGATGGTGGCTCCAGCTAAGGAATTAATTCCACGAGACCAATTAAATAATTTTCAATTTAAAATGCGCCTCTGTGATCAAACTCGCACTTCTTTGGGCGCAATGCGGATCGTAACCCAAGCCAGATTTGGTGCTCAATGTTCAATGTCGACAAGGGGCTGGAGGATGTGACGTTGTCCGACTGGGAGAAGTCGAGCACGATCTCCGCACACACCAGGAACTACATCGACGAAAACTGGAGGGCGATTGAGCAGTTCGTGGGCCATTTCACTAGCCGTTTCGATACACAGCCAGGACCAGTTCCGGCTGAACTCAGTGGATTGCCTGTCACGCAGACGAGTAGTTAGTGAAGAAACCTGTCATTCTACGAATGGTCGACTGACAGCATGATAGGTGGACCCTTGGATCTTACTGCTCGTCAGAAACCCCACTTCATTTTCCCGTTTGGGCGGAACGAAAACTTCGTCGGCAGAGATGCAATCTTGACACAGCTTCTTCAAAGAATCCCCCCAGCGCCTATAAAGACACCTGCCAGAGGACTGCGGTTGTGGGCCTCGGAGGGATAGGCAAGACACAGGTCGCCATCGAAGCCGCCTACCGTGTTCGCGATGCGCACTCAGACTGCTCTGTGTTCTGGGTACCCGCTGTGGACACGGTCATGTTCGAGAATGCGTATCGCGAGATCGGCCAGACCCTTAAGATTCAAGGCATCGACGGCGACCAGGCAGACGTCAAAAGCTTAGTCAAGGCTGCCTTAGAACGGGACGACGTTGACAGCTGGCTTCTTATCGTCGACAACGCCGACGATATGGACTTAGTGTTTACTAGCTCGAAGCTGACGTCTTATCTCCCTTCCAGTCGGAAAGGCTCCATTTTGCTCACAACGCGAAACCACCAGATCGCAGCGAAGTTTAGTCGAGGTCATCCTATGCGTCTACGGGAAATGAGCACCATAGATGCTACTCAGCTACTATGTAACGGCTTGGAAGAAAGCCAGTTCAGCGACGGCCAAAGCACAACAGAGTTACTCAAATACCTCACTTACCTGCCTTTGGCTATTCGCCAAGCGTCTGCTTATATGGCCACTAACACAAACGTGGCTGTATCCAGATATCTTGGATATTGCAAGTCTAGTAACGATAAGCTGGTGAAGCTACTGAGCAAGGACTTCGACGACCAGGATCGATACGAGTCTATTCGGAACCCAGTCGCCACGACGTGGCTGATCTCCTTTGAGCACATCTCTAGGGACAATCCGCTAGCAGCAAAATGCCTCAGCTTCATGTGTTATCTTGCAGAGAAAGACATCCCGAGAGCTCTTTGCCACCTGAAGAAGACGAGACGAATACCGATGACGGAACGGATTCCGATGACGAAATGGATGTCGATGAAGCGATCGGCAAATTAACGGCTTACGCGTTCATCGTGCAGCGTGAGGTGGCGGATAAATTCGACATTCATCCGCTGGTGCGCCTGGTGATGCGGAACTGGCTTCGAGAAGGAGGGAAAGAGGAGCAGCAGGCTACGGAGACGATACACTGGCTTTCCAAGAAGTTCCCGTGGCCAAGACATGAGAATCGAGACACTTGGATGGCCTACTTACCGCATGCACAAGCGGCGCTTCAAGTTCGGGATCGGTGCACAGAAGATGAGGCGTTATGGGACCTACTGTCTATCACTGGAGAAAGCAATAACCTGCTTGGAAAGTATGGCGAGTCAGAGCAGATGCATCGGCAGACACTGGAGCTTTGCAAGAAGATGCTGGGACCCGAGAATCCCTCCACACTCACCAGCATGAACAACCTGGCACACGTGCTTGATAGCCAGGGGAAGTACGACGAGGCAGAGCAGATACACCGTCAAACACTGGAGCTGAGAGAGAAAGTGTTGGGACCACAATATCCTTCGACGCTCGGAACCAGGCGGAACTGAGCTATGCTGAGCGAAGCCTGAATAGCGGATTGATGAATGCGAGGCCGAAGCTCTGTCCTTGAACTAGGTATTTTGCTGCCATTGTCTTAGTGTACAGCTGGCTTAAAGCCAGATTAAGGGGCTTTCTTGAGACCTAGTGTAATTAATAGATGGATGCATAACTTAATGCAAGCTGTATATACAATTACGTAGACATTAGCAAGTGGCATAAAACTGAGATGGCACTAATCACTGCCGTTTGTAGATCTTGGATTACGCGACATGGGTCTGAACTACGAAGACAGTGTAGACGCCATTTCTGGCTTTACTGCGGAGATCATCAAAGCATGTATCTTCATGGTTTCGTCATGTACCCAGTCCAAGAGTGGATCCAAAAACGTCTGTTTTAGAAGAATTTCTCTTTGCAAACATGGAAACCGATTTCGAATTCTACTGTACCACACACAGGCTCTGGCGATAGAAAAGCAACTACAGCATTTGTTTCCTTCAATGCCACAGCCAAGCTTCATTCGCTCAACTTTCCTCGTTTGAGAAAACTTTGGCATGTGGAAAAAGCCTGAGGTGACTATGGTGTTTTTGACCCGGACATGAGTTTCTGCCATGGTACTGTCACGGTGCTGATGACGGAGTCGAACGTTTAGGCCCTGATTCCTCACCGCAGTCTTCAGTAGAATCTTGCAACCGAAATCGGATTCTGATTATTGACTTTTGGGGATTGGACAACCGCAGCTGTTTACGGATTTTCTTGCTGACAAGCAATGTTGAAAAATATGGGGCCCCTGCTGTATGGCTGACAGTACCTTCTCCAAAAGCAACAATCAGCTCTTGGCAATATTCGACGTGGGCGACCAGCGTGGTGATGAAGCTGTTTCTGGCTTTCACGAAGGAGTAGTGCCAGCTTCCAGCGAGTAATGCACGCCCGTCTTGCGTCCTATGCCAGCAGGAGCAGCCAGAAATTGCGGCGTAAAAGAATTGCTGAATCAAGTCAAGGGTTAGAACCCGGCTTTGGTTGTGACTATACTAATTATGTCTTGCGTATCGACGCATACACCCTGGTTACATGACAGTCCCGCTTTATGCTGGATGTGATGGAAACACGATTTGCCATTCCACCGACGCCTTCCCTACCGGATGCCGGAGAAAACGAATGATTGCGTCCCCGCGGCAATCCATCCAGCTACGCCCACGGTAACCAAAAGTAAGAACCCAGAGCAGAGGACGAGAATAGCAGCGCATTGCCACGCATTTGCAGCCGTAAACCATAATAACATCCCGATGATCAGCTGCACAGACGCGCATTTGAGGGAAAAAACCGGGATCCAGGCCACGACCCAACTGCCACGGTGGGAGTGGAACACGAACGAGAGCATAATTGTTATGGTTGCGGTGAAGGCTGTTGCGGTGGCAGAAGTGATCAATAGAAACCTCGAAAAACAAGCCAGCATCGATGTGGTCGTTGGAGGGACATTCGATAAGACAGCCATGGTGTTGGCACCCAAGACAGCGCATGCGAGGAGGATTGCGAGGTACAAGTGCTTTAGTCGCACAAGGGCTGTGAATGCTACAGGAAATAAGTTAGCGTACAGCAGAATCTTGCAGGGGGCGATAAAACCGTTACGCTGTCTCGGCATGGACATTTTGGCCCTTGTGGCGGGAGTCACTGCTGGATGATTCGCTGGTGGGTGGGAGACAAGACGCGAAAGACTGATGACAACGAAAAGACCAGAAATATAGACAAGTCCCAGGTTGGAATAATGCAGGCGCCACTGGAATTGATTTGGGGTTCTTGACTTTGGGAAGTGAGTTCATCGCAGGTATTTATAGATCGTCTTGCTGGTAAGGAACATTGCGAACATGGTAACCCCTGCCCCATCGCTAACCAGTGCTTTCTAGTGTACATACCAGTCAAATTAACAATATGTGGGACACGCTTATAATCTTACGGAGTGTTGAATACTGTAAGTAAGAGGAAGCGGCTTACAGTACAGTATGCTCACAGCTGTACATTATTCGCTCTACCGCTTGCCTTACCGTTCGTTCGTGCTGCTTCGCTGCACCTTGCGGTGTAAATCGATTCTGCCTAGATGGACCGCCTCTGCTTTCCACGCGACCGTGACCGGCTTTCTCAACGACTAATACAAGCCACTTTCAACCTAACAACCCTACTGCGTACAGCAGGCTCTAAGCAACAGACGCGATCTTCATCTTTTGCATTTCTATCCCCGCTAGGCTTACAACAATTGTGCGGCAGCTCATGCATGCTGCAATGGGCAGAGCAAAGCAACCAAGTGTGTGGAAAAGAGTCTTGAGAAAAGAGAAGATTATTAAGGTATTCGCGCTGTTCCGCGAATCTGTCGGAAGAGTTAGGCCTGCACCTCCGTGAAGTTGTCTTCTCCTCATAAGCGGGCTGCCCCGATTCAGCCCAAATACATGTCCTTGCTTACTAAAGCAGGGTGGTTGCTGCAGTGGGGGTAATCGCGGCCCCATCGCATACATGTGTCTGCCTAGCGACCCATTTCCTTCTCCTGCTACGCCTTGTTTTTGGCTTTGCTCTAGATTCTTTGTCCCTCGCCTTCGATTTACCCGCGGAAATTGGCCAAACGTCGTCCAAAGTCAATACAGGAATTAAACGGTTCAAATTAGCACCCTTATGCCACCGCGTCACCGTTTCTTCGACCATGTTGATTAAATTGGAGCAGTACCAAGTCCCATCACTATAGCGTGATGCCGAAGGCATTTTCGGCGAGGATTTCCAAGATCTTGGACCGTGACCTTGATTCAGGCACATCCACGTGTACTCGTAAAAAGATTTGGGGTTGTAGTAATAGTAGTAGTCGCCAGATTTACCCCGCAACGGATGTCCTTCTTCTTTACATCGTTGGAGGTAGCTGAGTGCTTGAGTCGTAATGGTGGCGCATCTTAGCCATCGGGCCTGCAGACCAGCTTCCAATCGTGGCCAAGCTGCCATTCTTTGCATCCTGCTGGTATATTCTTGTTCGCTCTCGCTGGGATGACGCTGTCGCTCCTCTTCGTCTTCGTTATCCTCTCCACTGGCTTGCCGGTTTGCAAGATGAATGTTATGGTCAGGCCAGGCCGAGTCACTAAGAGCATCTGTCATGACGGCCTGCATCGCGTTTGCTGTATCTTCTGCTTCGTCGAGGTCAAGCAGGACGTCGTCAAGCCTCATATAAGACTTTGGTGGGCGTGTTAGGTGCATTAGCTGCGTAGCCACATCTGCATCCATAGTTGAAATTGATTGAAGATGAACTTGGTAATTGAGATGGCTGATCTTGTAGTAGAAGTTGGGTTTTGATCAAAGGGGGAAGAGCAGTGTTATACTTGTGCCGGCTCCGTGGGTGGGAGGTTTTTGGAGAGCCAAAAACCGTCATGTGCGCTTCACACGTCTGCAGTCCAGTGCCCACACTTCAGGCGGCTCGACCTCATACATGCAACACAGGTCAAGGGCTGTGCATCTCGTTTATGCAGTGCAGCCTAAGGCTGATTGATGAGAACCATCACGACTCATACCCTTGGCTTCGCAAATAAAGCTTGATAGCCCAGACCACTTCAGACGACGCCAGTTCCGTGCACCCCCACGCGGTATCCGGTCCTTCCAAGTGCTATACAACTAGGAATCAAGACATCTAGTGATAATCAGGGTTATGCGGTGTGGGCCCGACTATGGCACGACTCACAGCATAGGCCGTGGGATGACCGCGCTTTTGTTCTCTCCTGATGCTGCAAACGCTGCATAACAACACAGTCAGAAGAAACAATATGCCTGCAAGTCCTCCGATAATGCCAACTTCGACTGGTGTCATTGCGAAGAAGGTGCTTTGAAGTGTGGCAAAAAAGAGTTGACAGACACTAGCCATGGCTAGTGTTTTTATACATTGACACAAAATCCAGGTTTGGCTTCCCGGCCTCACACACCTAGACGCGCTTCGGCTTAGCTCATTACTCAGCGGAAAAAAGCCGGATTTGACTTTACGGTGGTTCATGTATCTTCCTGGCTTCAGAGCCCATTGTGCCGACACAGACGGCGCATGGCAGGTCTGCTATGGCTGAAAAAGGTGCTAATTTGTGCCCCTTAAGTCGTCGCGCGAGAGGTTTGCTCTGCACCAAAATACCTATCGAAACACATGCAAAATACACGCTCTGCACCCATAAAGATGGCCAGAGTCAAAAAGGGACTACGGACGGGCTCTGCTGTGATGTAGCACATATCCGCCGTGCTCATTGTCACGGCCAATATTGGCTGATCTTCAATGTATAAAGACGTTGCCGTCTCTGACCCAGATGCGGCTGTCTTCGCCAAAAAGTCAATCGTTGTGCGTGGGATGGCCTTTTCAATTACCAAAGCATTGAGCCGCTTGGCTATTGTATGCAGTCTCCTGGGGCACGCAAGAGGAGATTGGACGGCGGCCCAGCTTATGGGAAGAGAGACCTCCCTCCAACCCCGCGGTTTTCTATCTTCTTGCGTTGACTGGGGTACCCTCAAGAGCGAAAAGAACAAGATGGCCGCGTACTGCAGGACCACAACAGGCACCTGGCGCTGGTCAGTCCTTGATCTGAATCATTGCCTGGTGAACGTTGACGGTATTTTGAAGGCGCAAGACGAGTGGGTACATCTCCGACAGATTGTGGCAAAGCACTCATCACTTCTAGGGGATACTATTTCCGGTCCGTTGGCACCTGCTCGTCTGACAACTCGACGACATCGTGGGCCAATTACAAGTGCAGCACGGAGACCAAAGGCGCCAGCCGACACTATGCTGATCACGGGATAGACCTGAGTAGAATGCACAATCTACCGTGCAGTCGCAAACAACTGACGCTTTTCAGATGACGTGGTCGGGAACGACAGCGGTAATTTGTTCTGTGGCCGCCAAGCCTTTCACGGAAACGTAGTCGACACGGAGCAAGTCAGCTGGTGGGGCTTTGACATTGTGATTCGTGAGCTTTCCATATGAGAGCCCGAGGGGTATTGGTGTGCTTCGAGCGCCAATATTCAAGCTTCAGGACAAAAGCGGCGGGAAAAAACAAATACAAACAACAAGAGAAAGGGAGGAGAAAAAAGGAAAAAGCGGGAAAGGGGAAGGGACAATAACAGCCACGAGCGAGCGAGCGAGCGAGGAACTCGTCTCGATCTAGTCATTGTTTCTTGCAGCCCGCATTGACGAGCTGTCGAGCTGTTTTTCATGAGGTAGCGGCATGTTTCTAGTGTTCATAGCAGCCAAGATGGTAGGCGGACGGCGGAATGGCTCGTCGCATACTTGATCCGTTTGTGACCTTCTGCGAGGTCTATTTACAATTACACGGCCTGCTGGGGCTAGCGTTGGGGGGGGGGGGTGGGGGGGGGGTGTTGTTGGCGAGCGCTCTGAGTCCATGGGCACGTATCACTGCAATCCAATCATGAAATTAAAGGCGGCGGGTACGACACTGCGGACCTGGAGACCTAACACTCGTTTGCCAATGCGACCGTGGCTAAGTGGCTTGCGGTCCGTTGCGGTTGAAATTCTGCCGTGCTATTGGTCAGGCTGGCTCGTCATACAAGGTGGATGTCTGCACAGCTGACTCAGCTCGCCGGATGCCATTCGCATACGTCAACATCTCCAAATGCGTATACCTTGCCATGAGGGGGTATGGAGACATTATGAATAGATGCCTATTCCCTGCGCACGAATCACCTCGAAATCATTGGACTATGCTCCGACTTGTTTTTTGGATGGGGCGCTTCCTGATTGCGACGGCCGCCAGTGGAACGCATGAGAGGTACCAACGTCAATAGCACAGTTCTGCGATGCCGGAAACCTACGATGGCGCCGGACAAGCATGCTACCTGAAATCTTTGCATGCAAGTTTCCCAACAACCGCACATCGTTCTTCACATGATTGCCATTCTCATTTCCTCTTCAGATCGTACGGGGACGCTTAGTATCGAAGACTTGTTTTTTGATACTGTATATAATTAGAATCTTAGCTTCAGCTTCACAACCACCCTGTAGTACTACTGCAGGCGTGGGCATAAACCCCGGATGTGAAGCACGTTCAAATCTGGACTTGTTGGACTCCTCCATGCCCCGTCTCCTGAACATGTATCCTGTGTTCGGACTGGAGATCTTTGTTCATTGACACGCCTTTGATCAAGAGGCTCATCAAAAGCGCCGCTCCTGACACACCAACGTACAGCCCGTAGACGCCTCGCAAGCCGTAGACGTACGCATCCAAGATCTTGGGCCGCAGCTCGGAATCATGGGAAGCATTCAAAATGGCTGCAATAGCGCTTGCACCTCCGCGTGCGCCGGCGGCTGACAACCCGTTATTCTCCAACTTGAGCAGCATGACGTTCTGGAAGGTGGAGCCGCCAACGCCAACCCCGAGCGCCATGCCAAACTGCCTGAGAAAGGCGTACATTGCAGCGGCGATTGCCTCGTCGCCTTCGTCACAGAGGGCGTGCGAGGCAACGTTTTGTGCGTTCAAAATGGCGCCGTGGCCGAGACCAAGCAGAACGAGCGTCGGCGCCCATACCTTCGCTGGCGTGTCGGCATCCCACAGCAGCATCAAACCAGACGCAACACTGGCCAGAGTCCAGCCGGCCCAGATCGGATACCGGTAGTTGTTCGTCATTGTCACGAGTCGGCCGGTGATGATGGACGCCGGCACCAGCGTAAACATCACCGGGAAGAGCGCGATGCCGGTTTGGACTGGCGTGAAGCTCCTAACATCCATGAAGTAAAGAGGCACGTAGTACAGCTGCCCGTACATCTGTGATCATCGTTAGCACTATATCTCGCGCACGAAACGCCAAGTGACCCATACCACAAGCCCCTGGATCGTGCCGCAGGCATACGTTGCGACAGAGCTGGCGGTTTGGAAAAGGCGCCGGCGCAGGAACGGGTACGTTGCGAAGCGTGACTCGTAGATCATGGTCCACACCATGCCAGCCGCACCGAGAAACAGGGGCAGAAGAGTGCCGACGCTCTTCCAACTGTAGCGCAAGCCGCCCCACGAGACAGCCACCAGCAGCAAAGTTGCCGAGCCGACGAACAGGGCGTTACCGAGCCAGTCCACCTTCCTCAGTTTCTCACGTATAGATGCGGTCGGCGGCTCGATCGTGACCAACAAGGGCACGAGGACCAAGCCGGCGGCGCAGAACGGAAACATGATGTAAAATATCCAACGCCAAGATGTGTTCTGGGCAATAACGCCGCCCAGTATAGGGCCGACACAATTGCCCAACGCCCACGCCCCCAGTCTGTGGATGACCTGCGCGTTAGCGGACGGAAGAAGAAAAGAGAGTTGGGGAAGGGGCTACTCACACTAGACCGTACCACTTCGGCCGCAATCGCAAAGGAACGATATCGGTGAAAATAACCAAGCACAAGACGATGATGCCAGCACCGCCAACGCCCTGGAAAGATCGCCCAACCAGCATCAAGCCGATCGAGTCGGACACGCAGCAGAATATGGTACCGAGAGCGAAGGAAGCGACGGAAACAGTCAAGCACGGCCGTCGACCAAAAACATGGCTAAGGTCGGCGATGAAAGGCATCATCACGGCGTTGGCCAGCAGGTAAGCCGTGCCGATCCAGAAGCCGTCGTATGTGCTGAGCCCGAGGTCCTCGATGATAACCTGCGACTGTAAGCTTGGTATGTGACGGACGTGGCCCTGGAAAGGCAACTGACATGCAACGAGGTGACAATGACACAGGCGTCGAGAGCAACCATAAGCGATAGCAAAGCCAGTGTTGCCATGATGGAGAGCTGGCGTCTCGAAGGCTTCCATTCGACTATCGAGTCTCGGCCGAGACCACCATCTTCTGGCGCATCAACGTGAATAGTCTCCTGGCGATGCATGTTGAGGGGTGGATTCAAAGGTGCAATAAAGATTCCCACGACGTGTACTGTAAAAAGGCACTGCACCAGTTCTACGTCTGAGCTTGGAGGACGACGCTGTCTTTATATAGCTAGAATTCATGTCAAGACACCCACTTAGAAACCCACCTTCCTTCGGCCGTACCGGGGTTTTGGGCACCCACGCATCGAATTCGTCTACAGCTTCTGGCCATGAACATGAAACGATTTGCGTCCGGCCATTGACTCCTTCGGCCGACGGTCGACTTATGCTGTTCTGTCCTTGCGGTTTATTGGGTGCTAGAACTGCCGTTGTAGATCCATCCTCCGACACCGTTCGCACTGCAGCCCTGCTTGTTTTCTTGAACTGTCATTCATCACGGCCACTATTGGCAGGAGACAAAACCTGCGCTTCATTTTGTACCCCTACGCTAAGAGCCATTTCAGCTAGGGTGTAGCCGTCATGTCCGCAGATCCGCAAGTGTTCTCAGAGCGAGTTCTTGAAATCCCAATTTGCAGACAGCTCAACGGCCCAAATACAAAACCCCTCCAAGCTTCCGAGAAATCGACTCGAGGCCTCGTTGCGCATCCGGTTCAACATGGACGAGTACGAATTCTTCCATCGCCTTGCTACACACCCTTTCTCCTCTGCAACGATGGAGATGTTGCAATGCGCTCTGCAGCTCATTCGAAGTCGCTACCCGCTGGCGTTTTGCCACGAAACAGAAGGGACAGCCGTAGAGTTCCCACCAAGGGAAGATTTCTTCAAGCAAGAAAACATGCCCCTCCATGTCGCCAGCGAATGGATCAGTTACATGCAAACTGTGGGCTCTTCTATCAATACCGCAAAACAAGGAGTCCCTCCATCGTTGTGGCTTCTTGCCCGAGATGGTCGCGTAGACGTGGACGTAGTCGCCGGTTATCTCCGGCTATTGCGGTCATCTTACCCATCTTTCCACTTTATAGACCCCATCTCCATTACATCCGGCACCATAGAGAAGCCAGCAGGGCTTTTGGGCACGCCGGATGCCACAACACTCATTCCATGCATTTGCAACGGACCTGGTTTGCCGCCATTGTCTACGCAGATTGCGTGCAGGTGTACGGAATGCGCGTCGAAGACGGCTCAAAACTAGAACAGCAGCTACAAGCCTGTTTCCTCGTCGTTTAATTCGCTTTTCCCATCCTGCCCTTGCGACGCGTCCAGAAGACTCGGGAGTGTTGATGCTTTTGGGCATGCGGATGCTGGCCCGGGGGGGTGTGCCGATGCAGCGTTTCGACAGCACGTTCCTCGGGAATGCGAGAGCACGACTGTTTATGGAAATGTTGATGGAAAGCCTGGACACGAAGGATTCCGATATTGCTAGCCGGATTCAGGAAGCGCAAGCAGAGAACTCTGTCTTCTTTGATGAAGCCTTCCTACCCGAAGGCAATGATCTCACACCGGCAGCCTCGACCTTCACCGCAGACATGGAAGACGGCGGCGACTTTACGTTCGGCGCCTCGCCCGAACCAGCAAGCCAGTCTTCCCCACCGGCTGAGGAACACTCCTCGTCAAGAGAACGAAGGTCTGACGCGGGGACGATTGTGTCGGCACAAGCCCCGCACAATCCATTATCGTCCTCGCGATCAACCGCGCCCCCTCGCGAAAAGCTCACCTCGCTGCGCAGCGGTCGGGTATTCAACATGAGGATGCCGAGGATGCCGCCAGAAATGCCCAAGCAATGTAAGACCATTCTTGACATGTTGAGCGAGGCCGTGGCTTTCTACCGGAGTTCTCGCTTGTCAGAAAGCTCTGAACTGTCAGTGATATGGTCTGCCATCAAGAACGGTTTCAAGAGCGAGTTCTATCGCCGTTACAGCGGCGTGCTGTTTTACAGGCAGATGGCCCGTCTCAGTAATGACCAAAAGGTCAGCATGTCCACGCAAATGAAATCTCTCCAGTCACGGTCCAAAATCTGGCACGATATCTGCCAGCTGCGCCACAACTGGGGGGCCGCTCAGTATGTGCTTCTTTGCGTTGTGCCGGAAAAGCCACATTTGGAGGGTATGAACCCACAAGAGCGGCAGGACCAGCTCGAGCAAGTCCGTGAGCGGCTCGATGATACGCACAACAGCCTATCGAGCTATGTAGAAGCTGCGAAAGGACTATGCGCAGCTTTGGTCCAAGGTAGTCTCCCATACGACCGATTGATGATTGATAACTACCACCTGAAGGCCTATCAAGAGTTCATGGAGCCCGAGTTCGCTGCTTACACAAGTCTCGATCCGCGGGCAGCCATTCCAATCTCCAGGTGGGGCCCTGGCTAGAGCACACGAATCGTCGTTTGCGAGCTGGGCTGGATAATTGTGTCACGATACAAAACAAGCATCTCAGACGGCCGTTTAAGGTCCATTACGTAGTCTACTATTTGGGTTAGAAAGATTCCATGATGATCACCATCGTTAACATGGTAGATGCGGTCTCGTAAAAAGTCGATTAGTGCGTTGCGGCTCACAGTTCTTCTTCGCTCTGGCTGTTCGTGATTCGTTGAGCGATGGCGTACATGGTACTTACAATACAGCCGCTACCAGCATTCTTTCCTGTCTCTTGATTACAGAAACCTTATCGACGCAGCCATTCATAGCTACTCTAGCTGACATAGTACGCGGAGGTCAAGGTGCAGTAATCGCCGGACGCTGACGTTACTTTGTAGTGGGAGCCATAAACAATCCGCATCTTTCTACCTGCTAGGTTGGATTCTGCTCAACGCCGTTTGTTGCTTACCGGGGACGGTAGTATCAATCTTGTAGCAGGGGGCCCCCATGTTTACAACATCTCTTGTCAGCCAGAAAGATCCACAAACAGCGGTGATGAAAGCATTTCCAAACGCCAAGAACCGGAAATCGATCGCTGTCGTGGCTGGACCGGGCTTGCGACAAAGAAACGCTGTCTGGGCATGCAACACATGCCCCGGTTGCTCTCGGTGGTGGACGGATCACGACGACTGTTTGCACAACATGAGGACAACTGAAGGCGAGACTGCCACTGTACTCCAAGCCCATTTACCGCAGCTTGCTGGTGTTGGACCAAGTCCCGAGTTCCTACGTACTGTGTCGTAACCTTCCCAACCTTTGGATCGTCATTTAAAGTCACACTGTATCGACCACCCATGAATCTCATGAGGAGTCTGTTTTGGCCTTCTCGGGTGAGCATCAAATATTGCCTAGACGTGACCTCCACCCTGCCTTGCGTCCCGACAGCAAGAGAATCCACAAACAGCTGCAACGATGAACGCATTTCGGCAGTATACACTTTGCGATGTACCTGGTGCCGTCAGAAGTAGCTCCAGCGCTGGACGTATCTGCGTAAGTGTGTACGTGGAAGGAGGTGACGGACCGTACTTGTCACACTATTTATGGACTCGTTTCTTATAGGTCTCCTGTTGGCTTTTCTTGATCGCCCACACAAGTCTACTGGCCGTCTTCGTCACAATGATATCCAAGATAGTGACGGCCCTCCACGTCATCTTGGCGGTAGTGATACTTGCATTAACCGTCAGGGTTCTGCGAGATGAAGCGAACGAGAAAAAGGGCATAATGCAGATTCTGGTGCGTGCCCGTCAGCGTGAGGAGTCTTGACTGACAGTAGCAAAGCTGCACGAACAAGCGCGACGCTTCGTCCAGGTTCCCGACGTGGTTGGGTCTATTGCCACGGCGGTGAAGAGTGTGGCGTCCAGCGTGGTCACCGCCGCAGTCGCGTCGGGGGAGTCTTTGGTGGCCGCGAGTCTGCCGTCAACGTGTCCGTGGGAACAAAGTACGCATGTGTGGATTCTCGGTGCGCCGCCATCCCTGGCTCGGCCCTTCTTCTGGTCCAAGACCTTGCCCCGTTCCTCCCTTCGCCCCAGGAAGTCGAAAAGTTGCAAGGTCTGGTGGACAAATGTCCGAATTTGGAGACCGTTCTTTCCGCCGGGCTCGGGTTGGTGTTAGTTTCGACCATACTCTTGCTTGCCGGCCTCAAGTTTAGGCTGCTCAGCTTTGTCTCGTTCGGGTTGAACGTCATTGCTGTCGTGCTCTTCGCGGTAGTGACGGGTTTCGCGGTTTCGCTGCATACAACGTCTCAAGCTGTCGCAGACTTGCTCGGCGTCGAAGCAAGAAAGGGAGGTGTTTTCGGGGCATCTGTTGGCGATTTGGTGGCAAGTTTGGTTATGTGTGCGTTGGCCCTCGTCCAGGTCTTCATCTAGAAAGGGGATCGGCTGGTTGGAAGCGTTCCAATGGGTGAAATCGGCTTTCTTTTCTCATCAATTCAGCTATCATACGACGGCAGCAGTAGTCGGCTGGTAGACAAGATATACGTCTATCCTTGTAGTCGGTCCAAAGGTGTATGGCGAGTTGGCTTCTTGCTTACAGTCACATGACGCAGCAATCACGTCTTAAGAGTAAACACACATACAGAAGGCTGCTTTTCATACAGAAGGCTGCTTTTCATACAATTGGACGTCGCTTGTCGATTACATCCAAGCCCCTAATGGCTGTCGAGAAGGCAAACCAGGCGAGTGGCGAATTAATCTGCTTGTCGGACGAGGATCGTGTCGAGGAGGGTGTCATGGCCATGGGTACGCCACTGAGCGAAGTATTTCATCGGCCCGCCCTCCCGCCATTTTTCAAGGTCATCGCACCGTACCTCGCCTCTTTCCATGCAAGGCGTTTGGTATCGCATCTAGCCAGAATGGAAATTCACGGCTCGTGTCTTTCAACATCACGGTCATATTCACTTCAGGAGGGGGCGAGATGAGCGGCAAGAACTTCGATCGCCTGAAGCATTTCGTGTGCCGCAATACGGACATTCACCCATCAGAGATCGAGAACGACGCTCCCATGGTGGTCGGCCAGCAGACTCTAGAGACGACATTGGCTCGCCTCGGCATCTCGGCTGAACGGGTGCGCTCTGCAAGTCAACCGAGAGACAAGCTTGCGACTGTCGTAAACTGCCAAGCTGCGGGCACAGCCGAGCAACACAGCAGCAGCAGCAAAAGAAATACTATAGACACATCACAGTGGAGGAACACAGCGAATGAATTGCAACCGGTCATCGATCGCATCGGTTCGAGCATCCAGAGGCTCAATCGTCAGTGGCAGATCTTGGACGACGCACAAAAGCGACTGGAAGGATTGTCTATCTCAACTTCAGATGAGGTCGACTGGGACGATCCAGTCATAAGGATTCAATCGGAGCTGGATCTCTTTGATTGTGAAGAAACGGACTCATGACTCTCGAGTAACTTTCTTTGAAGACAGCAGGGCTGTGTTGCTTGGGTTCCTTGTAAAGGCAATAACCAATTTCGGGACCATTGTCGCTGTTTTACATATCTAGGTCTGGTCAAGGTTACTGCAGTGGAAATCGTACTTGTCATGTCGCTGGCCGTCTGAGACGGCCTTTGTACGATGGATAACCTTTGCTTCCTCACTGTTGTGCTTTGACTATCCGTGCCTTCACCGTCTGTCGAAGCAACGAGAGGCTGCTCAGTATCCGACATGACTCCACAACGATGCCACCCTTTTCCCTGAAGAAAGACGCATTACTTGCAGCGGTCCTGCTCGCAACAGTCCAGAGGCGAAAACAAAAGAGTGTTTCCTTCGCACATGGTAGAAGATACATGATCTCTCATTTCAAGTCTGACCGGCGGTTCGCAAAGCTTCTGCGTGGCTGGGGATTCTGTCTGGGGAGGCTGGCGTGGGTCTGCTCGTGCGCGTCGGTGGGCATTTTCCAGCGCTCGTCGAAGGAGACTGTTTACTCGCTCTCTGGGTCTGCCGCCGACTGAATCACCAACGATTGATGGCATTGTTTAAGGAGATAAGATGGCTAGTTGATGGCGGTGTAGTCGTTCTGGAATGCGGCTCGGGCCTTCTTCAAATTTGTCACTGAGGTGGGAATTGAGCGAGCGAGCGCCGAATATTTTTTGGCGGCGCTCTGAACAGCACGCCATGATCTGAACACAAAACGTATGGATCAAGGAGAAGCCACTTCCTTTGCTAGAGCCAGAGCTGACTCCAATCACAGGCACGGTGGTCGAACAATGCTTTATTGTGCTCACGTCGTCAGTTTTCACAAGAGTCGAAATCGCGACGGAACGAGCCTCTTCCGTAGGCGAGTCGACAGTGGAGCCTAGGCTTGCGAGCTGAGAGCATGACCCCTGCCAGGTCAAAATATAGCTCTACGTGGACGCCGTCCCAGAAGTTGAATTCGGATTTTCAGCAGCGTGGACACATACTGTACGTCCATACAGTACAGTTATGAGCATAAGCCGCTTTCTCTTTAGGGAAGCACACCGGATGTTTCCAGATGCTCCATATAGTGTCATCTCTTAGTCAAGGGGACTGTATACACCTTTTTGTTGAATTTTGATGGGTTTAGGCTGACTACTAAAGCCAAAAACGGATGTTATCAAGTACAGTCACATGTCTTCTCTGCTTACTCGCACTGCCATCCCCGTGATAGCTCCATAATTCGTCTAGATTAGGCAGCCACCGCTATTTTTGGAGATTTTGGGAGCACATTACGGCTGTCCTTGGCCTTCGAAGCATTGAGTATATGTGCAGAAGAGGAAGCAACTTATGCTCATAACTGTACAGTACATACATACAGCAACACTAGACAGAGCTTTTGAAGTGGCCCAGACTCTGCTCTGTTTGAGACGTTTCCTCTTCCCCTCGTACGTACAGGGTTCGCAGAACCAAAAGAGGCTTACCATTTGCGCCAGAACTACACTTTTGGGCGCTTTCTTCTAACAGAACCAAACTCGGGTTTCTCAGTGATGGCACAAAGATGCTTATCCACTCGCGACAGGCCGACGTAATTAGTGTGCCGTTGAATACTACCAAACCTATCGAAGATAGTGCAGCAATGACCCCAACTACAAGCAAAACCGGTAGCGACTGGCTTACGATGAAGAGTCTCATCTTTGAGACCGATGACCTCCTCAAGAAGGTCTCCAGCGAGGGTCTCTTTCTGTTCCTGATCGGCATCGATCTCAAAAACCTTCTTGCGGGAGAGAAAGGCAAAGAATTTCACTTGCTCCTTGCACTTGGTCACAACAAACGACAGATGTCGGGTCGGTTTCCGGACGAAGATGTACGCGCCGAGCTGAGAAAGGCGCTGAACAGCTCATTGCCAGACGGCGGCAAGCTGGAGTTGATGAAGCCTGTGTTCAAGATTTCCGCAGCCGATGCGACAATCCATCTTCATCTTGATGGCCTTCTCCGTCCGGGCTCTGGCGAAGGAGAGATAAGCGTTTCCCCCCATGTTTTCGTCGAAGCGGAGAATGGCATCCAAAGGTCTATGTATCTGTCTACACACGACTTGGCGATGCCCGCGCGAGACCTGAGTTTTACTTATGCATCCTCGAAAACCACTTCGAAAAGCGGAAAAACTGTCAGTGCATTTTTTGCGAAACTTCCAGACGATCTCTGCCCCGACAACATCAGAAGCTGGATGTACGGGAAATAGATCACGGATCGGGAAGGCTTCTTTGCGAAGCGGACAGGATTCGGAGAAGAGCGACCTACGAAGTCATTTCTTTCACATACAACAAAAGGCGCAATGGGCTTTTCCAAACCTTTTACTGAATGTGTTTTCGTACTGCTATTGTGAAGCTGTGGCTGATGTGGCCTGCTAGGTCACGCCTGTAGTCACGACGCACCCCTGGACCAGTCAGTTGACAGAGCCAGAATCCGCCAGAGCCAGAAATGAACACAGATAGAAATGGAACAAAGTCAGATGCACACGGCCGGAATTGGCTTACCAGCAAGCTGCCAAAGATCCATCCAGTCCCGCAGCTGTTTGGCGCCTGCTTCTCTCTCCTAGCCCTTGTCCCGTAGACACAGCTCTGTAGGCCAATGTAAGTTGACCGTGTTGGAGAACTCCGGTCTCCTAAACATGAATCAAGTAAGCCCCGATGTGGCACAGCCTGGGGCGGCAATAGACTGCCAGCTGCCCACGAGCACTGCACGTATGAAAGGCATGAATGAAAGATGATTGAATTGTTTGTTCAGGAATCGGCCATGTCTCTTCTGAAATCATGGTACGATATCTAACGGTTGTATTGGAAATCGTAGTCCGGAACGTGCTCGCAAGTCGACCAAGTAAATATTCAAGTGCATCAATCCGCCGGTTGATAATCAAGCTCCCGCAGCCAGACGTTGGTCTCAAGGTACTCGCGAATAGCTTGTCCTTTCCGATACTCGCCGTACAGAGGGTGCTTTTCTTCAATCAGGAAACCTCCTGCAAGGTCGCAAAGTGCGTCCCGTGTTTCGTTTGCGGCGGATACTACGGCGCTGGTGAGTAAGGATTCGCCACCGCAGAAACAGCTCTTACCAAGAATCAACATGTCTCCCATCTTTCCAACTGCTTCTTGGACTGTGCGATCGAAGATGCGTGATGCTTCACTCCACAGGCCTGCCACGAGATCGGGACTGCCCACGTAAAGTCGCGCTCTCGTCCCGAAATCCCTCACACGAGTCGGCTTACCATGTGACCGACCGGTGCCGCCGTAAAGATGCTTGGTAACCAGTCGTTCGACATCGGACGCGCTCAGGATGTGCGTCGAAGCGCTTTTGGTTATCAGCTCGTCGCTGGTGCAACCCGGGATCAGCATCTTGAGATCTTCGACGGACATTCCTTGTTCCCGCATGTCATAGTAGATGGAAATCTCGAGAATCTGTGGTCGGCTCAGTCAACAAGGTCGGCCAACGCTCAGGAGGGAACTCATGTGTGTGTACGTAGCCATCGTCGAGCGTGTCCTCGTTCAGTATAGGGTTAAGGATCGACTCGGCCGCATGTACGATCCCTGTTCTGGTCAGTCCGCAAATGACGTATTGAGTGCGCAGTGCGCAGTGCGCAGTTTCCTTGGACCTACCAAGGTTGGTTACCTGCCAAATAAGGTGTATCTGCCGCGTGCGACCTCTGCAGTGGTTGTATCCGTACACAAGCTTCTTCAGGTACGGAGCCAGCGCAGAAATCCCGTGGTCCGTAGCCACCATGAGCACCGCCTCATAGTCCCACACCGGCACGCTGACACCGTGTGGCCCAGAGATGAGGGCCAATCGGGGCACGACATGCCCGTGAGAATATCGGATCAGGCTGGAAGTGAATCCTCGTCGGGGCTTGATGAAGAGATCGACGATGCTTTGTTCCGCTTCCGCCCACGAAGTCACAACGAAGGGATGGCACTCAAACAGTCGGACTCTCGGGATCCACACCAACAGATACTGGCCCGCCTCGAACTTGAGTGGCCTCGACAGCTTGATTGAGACCTGCACGGTTCCTGTAACGTGGTCGATGTAGGCTCGTCCAAACGTTTGTCCCATGGCCTTGTTGCGAAAAGCCATCAAACAGCCCTGGACCAAGGTTGCCAGCGTCGTCACAGCAAGGTAGATGTACACCCACAGCCTAAGCCGGCCAGCAATCGATAGCAAATGCAGCGCGGTCCCCACCGCTGCCAACGCAGCAAGTGCTTGGTGGCTTCTCAGACAAAGCTCGTAGATGCGGCGGCGGAAAAACGGGAAAAAGGAGATTGTCGCCGCTGCCACCATTGCTATTGAACCCTGCGAGAAGAGGTCAGAACTCATAAGTTGCCGGGTGCGAGACAAAAAAAAATGAAAAATATATCATATTAAAAACCCCCGAAGAAAAAAAGAAAAAAAAAAGGCTCCGTTACAATTAGCAGGAGAAGCTCATTGACGCCGTCCGGGACCTGGACCTGATACTTGTCGTTCTGCATGGCACTGACGATGTGGGCCGCAAGAAGCATCGCTGCTACGCGACCCTGCCACCTGTGCATCGCCGCGTAGTGCCGGAAAGGTATAGCCAGTATGTCTGCCGTTAAGTCTAAACATGGGCTGGCAAACAGTGGCAGCGTGTTGAGGAGGGCCAGGTTCCCCGAGCGGGAGAGAAAGGTTGACGGTCGGAATGCCAGACAGAACGCATTCACGCCCATGTACACTGTTGGAAGCAGCAAGGACACGACATTCCAAGGACCGAATAAAGAATGACGATGAACTAGAAGTCGATAGAGCAAGTGCTTTTCGAGGAGATGCGCGAGCCGTCTTCGAGCTCTGCTTGTGCGAGACAAGACGTTCACAAGAACGAGACCGGCAGTCATGCCTGCAAGGCAGATTGCATACAAGGTGGTGACCCAATCCATGGCGAAGTCGTGGTGAGGGTGGCAGAAGGGCACGGAAAATGATTTCGCGCGGGCTGCATGGAAGAACGAGACGAAAAGAATGGATTGGAAAAGAATAGATTGGAAAAGAATGGATTGTTGAAAACTACAGTATGAGCCTGAGAGTCTAGTACGAAAGAATATGTAGGGTTATCTGTTACGGAGCAGGAAATGGCTGACAGAAGCTCGATTCGGCGCCGGCGTTGTCTAGGCCTTGCACTCATACTCTCTTGGGAAGACTGACACACGTGCCAGACTGAGTAGACCAAGGAGACAGTCGGTGTCGCGATGTCTCATGAGCGGATGCTGCAGGTACCAGTGAGAAACGTGACCACAGAGGGATGCGAATACCAAACGGCGGGCACTACCAACGTTTTGCAACTCGTCGATGGACGACGCCGAATCGATTGCGACCAGGAAAGAAAACCCGTCCGAGTCCGGAGGCCAGCGATCGAGGTCGTCGATACCTGGCGTCTCCTTGCAATACTTTTGCATGAGAAGCTGAGAAACACGGCATACGGTGTCGATATGGTGCTGGCTGTGGCCCTCGAGCGGCCGGCAAAGCTCTTGGTTGGCTGCTCCGTGTCAGACGTCGGATCAACAGTCCAACAGCATCAGGCTTCCGTCGCTCCAGTTGCTAGGAATGTACTTGCCAATCTTCACTATTCCCGCATCGGTCACCAATATGCTGCGGCTGTCGAGCGTGGGATGTTCAAAGCCTTCGGCTTCTAGATAGCTGAGACCGTCTACGACCTACAACGCAACACACGTCACTCTTGATCCTCGAATGCTTGCTTTCCGTCACTTACCTGACCAACGATGGCACCCAGCTGGGCTTCGTCGGGATATTTCGGGCATTTCGCCAAGTGGTAGAGACTGAACGTCGTGGGCTCGAACACGGCGTGCAGAGAGGGGTCTGTCATGTACGCATGGATAAACTCGACAACGTTCCGGTGGCGGAGCCTTCTGAACTTTGACAGAGCCTCTTTCGACTCCAGCAGAGCGATCTTTCTGATGTGGACTTGCCTTCCCTGTCTTACCGCCACCGTCAGGCTGCCCCCGAGATCGTGTAGCTGGAACTCCTCCCGGTAATGTTTCCAGGGCGAGCTCCATTCGATGTCTGTCGTCTGGGCCGAGGAATGGGTTTTCTGCGAGCGAACGATATTCTGTGCTGAGCCCGTAACCGTGGCGTCAACTTTTCTCTTCTCTGGCCGTGATGCGATGTGCAAGCTATCGTTCGTTGCCGGCGTGTCGGTCGCAGAGCGTACCCTATGATCCGATGCAGTAGCATTTTCAACGGTATGATGAGCCGGAAAAATAGCAATCTGGGTCTTTCGGTTGGGTTTCATGATGTTTATTCGAACGTCTCCTCCTGTTTATGTGGTGATTTCACGGTCTTTCGATTGTGTATAAGTAGATATGCTGGAAGCATGTTTCGGCGATTGCGCAAGGCATGCGGGTAGAAAATCGGCTCCAAAACCGGCGACGGAAGAGAGGCAACTCTGTCTCACACGATCAGCTACCCAGCTAGGCTTCTCAACCCGAGTTGTGGCTGGTGATCCGGCCATGGCGTCTGCATGGAGGGACGACTGAACTGCTACTGTGCGTATGTTGTTCACCTTGATACTGTAGGCGCAAGAAGCAATTCGCACATCGGCGAATGTCTGCATTCCACTTTCTGAGGTGATTTCGTAGGCATAGCCAACTGCGTGGTGCTCGATCGCGTGGTACGCAGTGAAAGGGTGGAAACCTTGCTGCTGATAAAGTTTGGCTGTGTCGCAGAAAGCAGAACAAGGCATGAACTATCTTCACTTATCCAGAACACAGTAGAAGCATGATCAGATATAGTACACGACGGAGCGATCCGCGTTCTGTTTACTAAATGAGTCAACGAACCCAGCACATGAGTCCCATCAATGTGCTTGCAGCAGTACCAATTGCCACAAGCCACCAGCCCGAAGCCCGAATCGGTTACGGAGGGAGTGTAAGCAAACAAGACGCTCAATAATCCCCCCGGATGCAACATTCCATCTTGCGACGTAGACCGTTCAGCAAATGTCGATACACCACGCAAAAAACACACGAGACGACAAGCCACCAGCCCGTCACTGTTGTAGTCACTGTTGTAGTCACTGTTGTAGTCACTGTTGTAGTCACTGTTGTAGTAGCTATTGATGTTGCGACCATTGGCCGCCTGAGCGACGACACCCACGGAACCTGGTGGAACGTAGCCTCTTACACGATGATATGCCGATCCACCCAGATGTAGTTCGCACGCCACTTGAACCCCAACCATGCCAGACTTATGAACGCCACGCCTGAAAGTATAGACGCAAGAGCGACCGGACAGTCGACGACTCAGGATGAGCCTGTCTGTCCGACCCTGCCCAAGTCTGACAGAACTTGCAACCGCCTCAGTGACGCGAAAGTGTACGGCAAGGACGATGTAGCCGGCCAACAGCAGCCACGAAAAGACTCTCGCTAGGAGGGGCCACCCATACCTTGAGAGAACTGAAGAACGGAGAACAGCATCAGAGAAGCGGATGATCGACGACTCAAACAGGAGCGAAAGCCGACCCAGAGGAAAAACCCCGAAGCTCATACACCGTTCAAAAGCATGAAAAAGAAGCACTTTAGAATCATGAACAGGCTCTGGTCTATTCCGGTAGATTTTCCCCCTGTGACTGCCTACCCCAGCATGTCTCGAACTGATGTCTGCACGCCATGTAGGAATGAGCTGGTTCTTCGGGGCGCGCATATCTGTTCCAAAGTGTTGTTTGTAAACACGTCTAGGAGAACATGCATCGTTGCTAGGTGCGCATGGATCGGACCGCCCAAACGGTTTATAGTACTTTGACAACCTAGAAGGCGGTGCAGTTTGCCAGATAGCTGATTCTTTCCCGCTCCAATGTCGACCTTGTCGCCCTCAGCAACTCATGCAGCTGATCTGCCAACTCGAAAAGCTCCCGCACCAGGCCAAGCATGGTCCTCCACAGCCGACGCGTCGCCGTGAGCTTGCGACAGAGAATCATGTTCTCCTGGAGTAGCAGGGGTATGGCCGTGTCATACTGTTCATCAGCCTGCTTCGTGAGTCTCAGCAGCAGGTCATCGAGCTCGAAGGTGTCGGAATAAACGCTTGACGTGCGACGAGGTTCCATCGTTGCTGCAGCAATTGTCTGGTCGCGGTCCGTTTAAGTACTTTGGAGGGATCTACTTCTGGCTTAACGGCTAGCGTTAAGTAGGGTCCGTCGCCCAACCAATTACTGTCATAGCCCTTTCTCCCGCAATCGTGATAATTTGACAGCCGCCGGGCTTTCAGAACGCTTATGAATCGTTCCGCGATAGTTCCTCGCCAACCATGGCTGCAGTCTGGTGTTTACGCCGCCGTTGACCATCACCAAGAAGCTGGATCCAGCCCGATCACGAACACACCAGCGGACACCGAGCGGTTCGAAAACTTCTGTCGTCGCCCTCTTCCCCCACGTAGTATTCATAGCGTGGTCGAGCGCTTCCTCGCAAGGATTCTGCCCGTCAACGCTGATATATGGAACTTCCCCTCAGGTTTGGAAGCCTTTCTGCGCCATCTGCTGTTATGGGCCGACATAAGTGGGGCTGTATTCTGCGGTAGTCTGATCTACCTAGAGCGGGCTGCGCATCGGGGACAAAAGGCTCCGGTGACTGAGATGGGACGGCGTCTTCGGGTCTTGGCGGCAATCATCCTTGCCCAGAAATATCTTGAAGACGACACATACGAAACGCGGTTCTGGTTCGGCCTGACGGCCAGGATGTGTTCGTCTTATTTCACACACGACGACATTAATAACGCTGAAATGTCACTTTTGGAAGATGTCACTTGGGATCTGAGAATACACCGTCAGGAGATGTACGTAATCAGTACGCTGGTCCGCCATCCGGACACTGTCTCTGTGTTAGACCACAGGGCGCTCTGACGTCAGCCAAAGACCGTTTTTCAATGTTGGCATGCCTGAACCACGCGTTATAACGAGTGATACATACACGTCAACTACAATCTCTCCTAGTTGAAGATAATTACAGCACTGCTGTCGTCGAATAGGGAAAAAACGGTGCGACAGTCTCGTCGCAGTAGCTCCAATTAGGGTCGTACTCGTCGGCACAGCGAAAGACCGCGAACGTTGAGGACCGACCCACTTCAAACGACGGCATGAAAGCTAGGGTCCAAAAGACGCCCTCCCCCCTCCCCTCCCCAATCTAGCGCCACCAGATGCTAGCGCCTGATTTGGCCACAGCCGCCACCCAGTCCTGCCACTTTCTCTTCCTTCTTTCTTCCATCCTTCCAACGAGTCCAGCCCCGACACCCCGGTTATCCCACGAACCTGCCGCCTGGTCTAG